GTCGACGCGCAATGGGCGGCCATGGGTACGGCGGTGGCAGCGGCCTTGTTGGGCTCAATGCTGACTATCTCTCCAAACCGACAGTCGAGGGAGACAACTGGATGATTACGCAACAAGTGGCCGCGTATCTGATCAAGAAAATGAGCGATGTCATCAACCGCCCTGATGCGCCACCCAAAGACCGAACGGATGAGCTGTTCAGATTCTATCTCAGGAACCGCAGTCATCATACGCCTCAGGAGGTAGTAAAGGACGGGTCCATAGATGATGGGATTATAGTCCGGGTCTTTCAATGGCGGGTAGCAGACCTGTCGTACCGCGCCTATCAGGCTCGCGTGGTGGAGAAGCAGTCGTGGACACGCCTGATGATACAGCTCCACAGTCTCAGTCGTGCATACTCTGAGCAGATTCTCGTCACCAACTTCTACAATGGCCTCGGATCTGTCTCCCCGGCCAACCAGTGTGCTTTGCGAACATGCTTCCGGCTGTACGCCTTGTACACACTTGACCAGTATGCTTCCTCGTTTACTATGACGGCTGCCGTTTCACCCGAGTCGGTATATGCTTTACAAAACACGGTACTTGATTTGATGGCCGAGCTGCGGCCAGACGCTGTAAAGCTTGTAGATGCATGGTCCATACCAGACTTCCTCCTGAACAGTGCACTTGGGAGGTGTATGAGGAGTTGTTTAACATGGCGCATCGCAAGAACCCACTGAACCAGGTCACTTTTAATGTGGACTGGCGTAGTGACGAGATTGTACTGGGCAGCGGGGATGGGGGGCGGCATGTGTTGGCGAAGCTGTAATACCCAGCTAATGCATTGTATACAACTCCCAGGAGGGTGCTGGACAGAAACCCGTCAAGTGTCAAAGGTGATGGGGAGGCGAAACTTGGGTAGCGTGAAACTAGATTGTGCTGATCCTTTGTTCTTTACCCCTCTTCTTTTTCCTTTACATTTAGCTCTGTTGGGTCAGGGTCCTGATGGCAAATTAAATGGGACGCGAACAAAAGAAACAGTACCCCTGAAGACGTCATGGCACAGCTGCTTGTCCGTCTAGCTGCATTGCCGTGCATAGAGAGTCGACCGATGATGCTATGCAGTGAATCTAGATATGTAGAGCCACCAAGCCACTGCATGTAGGTATATGCATATGTAACTGTAGGTAGGCGGGCCGTTGGAAAAGGGCCGATTCAGAGCTGCACTGTGAGCTGATTCGAGGCCCTTGGATATGGCCGTTGAAACGACGGCATCCGGGGTATGTGGGCTGGGGGTGGGGTGGGGTGTTCCTGGTCGGAAGCTGGCCGGAAGCTGGCCGGAAGCTGGCCGGAAGCTGGCGGACACAAAGGGCACGAAGGAAGCTGGGCAAGTACGAGGCTGGGGCAGAGACAAAGGATGAGAAGAGTTTACGCTAGCAGGTGGATGAGATGGCGGTTAGCGGCGTCGAAACGCTGATGGAGCTAGGAGGCAGCGAGTGCAGTGGAAAGGTGGAAAGCCGTTGGGCAGCCAAGCCAAGGCCTCACTCCGAGTTTGACTCAGCAACGGTCGGAGGCCGAGCGCCTGTGACGCACGACGCACGACGCAACGACGGGGGACTGCGGCACATCGAACACACACACACACGCTTGCACACACCCACCCACTCATCCGCTCACCCACCCACACCATGCAGGGCCGTTTTCCCGGCCGCCGGGCCTGAACCATCCCACCGACCCCCTTGTTTCCTACATTGCCATCTCGACCAGGAACCTTACATGGACACTCTTCCGCCAGCCACCAGGCGCTTCGCTCGATGCTTGTAAAGAGCGTTGACTGGGTTTCAGCCTGATCGCTCACGTGAGGACGCGCTACACACCTTCTGGCGCCCACGCCTCTAGTGACTGCGCACCTCCAAAGGCCTAAAGCAAAGAGCCATAGTTGTGTAGACTGGGCCGGGTGCTGTTAGCTTCCTGTCCTGTTTTTTCTTATTCGCCTCCACACCATCTGCTTGCACTAGACCCCATCGCCTGTCAATGTCCTATCGCGGAAGGCCCAGCAAGGGTTGCGAGGCTTGTCGAGCCCGTAAGGTGAAGGTGAGCACGCTGTTCCATTGCCCTCTCTCTCGTCGCCACATTGCATCCCTAACCGCCAGGCTAATGCCACCATAGTGCGACGAGGCCAGACCGGCTTGCAGTCGATGCACAAAGGCTAGCCACGAATGCAAGTATCGCGATCAAGCCGATATCCTCTTTCGGAACCAGACTGCTTCGGCAGCACAGAGGGCCGAGGAATCATGGCGGAAGAGATCCAAGTCCCACCAGCGTCCAACCACGGCAGAAACAAACACGACTGCCTACGTCAAGACGCCTCCAAGCGATGCATCTACTCCGCCCACGCTCGACGACACACGCTCCTCGAGTGGGAGTGTGCACTCGCCCAGCGGCTCCACTGATGACGCTACCCAGGATGCATCCAACATTTCACTGGCTACCATTGACCTAAGCAAGATGACCATTACGCCGGCACCCAATCCGGATTTCCGCCGCAAGGCATTTGAGCGGTTCGTCTATGACTTTGTTCTGCCCGACTCGCCCACGATGCCAAAGGAAGAACCCTCAGACGCCTTGTGGACTTTTATTCCTGTGCTGTACCAGGGTGCCTCGGAGGATTCGTTGATAGCTACTACGGTTGATGCTGTTGCATATGTCAACTATGCGAATAGATGCAAGGATGCCCATGCTGCTGCATTAGGCGAGGAGTGCGTTGCTAAAGCCATTCCCATGCTAACCAAGGTGATTGCGGATAAGAAGCGATCGGCAACGAATGAGGCCTTGTGCTCAGTTTATCTTATGGGGGTTTATGAGGTATGCAGGCACTGAGGTTTGGTTGGCAGAGTCCTAACTTTCTCAGAACCTCACCAACGTGCAGCGAAAAGGCACGTTTATTGCCCACCATCATGGTGCTACTGCATTGCTCCAGCTACGAACTGTCGAGCAATACTACAGTGACCCGATTTCAGCCAGAGTGTATGAAGTAGCGTATGCACAAATGGTAATGCCGGCGTATGTTTTAGATGCGCATTGCTGACTTTGTCACATAGTTACTCGGCAACCTACAGTCAGCAAAACGCCCGCCCATTCCCAAAAAAGACGTAATCAAGGTGGAGGGGTACCTCCCCAGTCTTTACAGCAATTCTCACGTGTTTGTCATCCGTTTAATCTGGAGAGAAGCCATGTTACACGCAAAGTGGCATGAGATTAAGCAAAGCGCGAACCCGCCCACGAGTCGCTTGGCTATGCTAGAGATTTTCCAGACGGCTGTCGAGTTAGATGGCGCGTTTCAAGCCTGGGAATCGCCCCTCACGCCAGCCTGGGATTACCACATGGCACCGAATACGCCAGAGGCTCGGACAGCTTATGATGAAAAATGGAGAAATCTTTTCTTGGCGAGTCGAGGTGCGCCGCCAGAGATTCATGCATACCAAAGTCTGAAGAGATGCTGGATCTGGGGCTTTTTTCGAACAAGTCGGATATTTCTCCTGCGTGACCTTCTTGAGATGCTAAACTGGTTGCTTCGATTCCCAGAGCCGGTCCTGCCTTATCCTCATATGGCCGAGAGCGGTTCTACGACTACTAATGGGCAGTCTGCTCCTGTCTCGCTTAACACCAGGAGTCTGCGTATGCAACAATCAATCACTACTACCCACTTGGTTGAGGTCATTGACAAGAATTGCTCGGCACTGTTCGGTAGCTTTACGGTCCCGATACACCTCAAATCATACAATGATGTTGTTGGGATGAGAGGTTATGTTTGCTTGTGGCCACTGGGTATCATGGACGCTGCTCTGAGCTCAGGTCTGGTTCCCGACGTTAACGGGCCAGGAAGCGGACAACCATCGCCAGCAACCCAGTTTCCGACCGTCCAGACGTCGCCAAACAGTGACTCTTTCCAATCAGACCCGGGTACGGAATTTAAGAATGCCTACGCATTGGCACCGCAATTCTCAGAGCTCTCCGCCATAGTACCGAACCTGGAGGCGACGAGCGCAAGCAACAGTCCAGTGAACAGCACGCCAGTGTATGACCACATGGCGAAGAAGAACCACATCTTCGACTCCAACCCAGCACATCCTTATGACAGTCCCGTGCATCTTCCGGTAGACTTTGACATCCCCGAACCAAAGAAGATGGACATTGCTTCAAGACGTGAGTGGGTCAACCGCCTCTTGTACTATCTAGGAACAGAGCTGGGGCTCAAGAAGGCGCTATATGTGCCGTTCACTGAGGGATACTTGCCGGTTGTGAAGCCTGCTGTTGATCAACTTCTGGGTCGGTGATGATGTCCGGGCCAGGGCAGGGACTGGTGGTATGGAGGATATTTTGTTGTTTACCGTGCATGAAGATACGGAGCATGAAGTAACAAAGCATTGTGCGGGCGTTTGGTTAGTTTTTTTCTTCACGTGCGAGGCCAGTTCTTTCTCGCGTTATCTATTAAGCAACATATCAGTGTTTTGCTTTTCCTATTGGATGTATTGGATGGAGAGGAAGAAAAAGGATATGCTGAATGTATATAAGCAAGGTTGGAGGTTGGAGGTAGTAAGGTGATGGAGGGTTGAGAAGGGAGGAGTGGTATATGTGTGAAAATATGAGGGTCAGGAAGTTGACGTAGTATTACCCTTTCTGGGTAGGTATCATCAGGTATTGAATGGAATTTAGTACATTGATCACATCTCACTGCTCAAGCGACGGAGATAGACCCCGCGCTAGTGGAACCTCCGACCCCACAGTTTAGGCTTACATAACGCACTCGTGTGTCTGAACCTCTGACCCAACATTTGCCCCGTCCGCAGCCGCGATCCGACAAGCCGCCTTGTTTGTTTCGGTCTGAGAATCAATCTGACGTTTTGACAAATAGGAATTTGAAAAACTGCAACACGGCAGCATTGGTTGCAGACGAAAAGAGCTAGGAAAGAAACGGGAATTTAAGAAAAAAAAAGAAAGAGAAAGGAAAGACAGGAACAATGGACATTCGCGTACTCCGCCCAGAAGACATTCCACATGTGCAACTCGCCAACATTACGAATCTGCCGGAAAACTACTTTTGCAAGTACTACCTGTACCATGCGTTGAGCTGGCCGCAATTGAGCTACGTAGCGGTAGATGTAAGTTTCCAGCACGTGACAAAAAAGAACATCACCACTCCCCCCCCCCTCTTCAAATCCAAGCAAACCACACTTAAATTCCAACCAAGATGAATTCATCCCCCCTTTAAAATACGTCTTCGATTCTAATGAACAATCCAAAAAAACAGGTATCCCGCCGCCCCAAAACCCCCTACGACCCGCCCAAAATTGTGGGCTATGTGCTCGCGAAAATGGAAGAAGAACCCACCGACGGCGTCCAACACGGCCACATCACCTCGCTATCCGTCATGCGCACGCACCGCCGCCTCGGACTGGCCGAGAAACTAATGCGCCAGTCCCAACGCGCCATGGCCGAGACGTTCAACGCGCACTACGTTTCTCTGCACGTCCGCGTGTCGAATACGGCGGCCCTGCACTTGTACCGCGAGACGCTGGGGTTCAAGGTGGACAAAGTGGAAGCAAAGTATTATGCCGACGGCGAGGATGCGTACAGTATGCGGATTGAGCTTGCCGAGGTCAAGAGGGGGGTGAAGGAGGAGGAGGACCAGATTTGGGGGAGTGAGGGCGTCGATGAGGGCGACGCCGTGGGCAGTGAAGCGCGGGAAGAGGTCAAGTTGGTCAAGATGGGGAGGGGAAGGGGGGTTGTGGATTTGGTCGAGAAGAATGAGGCTGCTGCTACTACTGCTACTGCGTAGATGTGAGGAGAGTGGGGCTGTGTGTGTGTGTGTGTGTGTGGAGGTGTGTGTGGAGGTGTGGAAACGGTTGTTTCTATGCCGATTGCCGTGAGATGAAAACGGGGCAAAGAAGAAGAAGAAGAAGAATTATTATGAGAGAATCGTTTGAGAAAGAAAACGTCGGTTGTAGTATGCCATCAAGCAAGAGATTAACGTGGATTTAAAGACATTGTGATATTGGTACAAACAGAGTCTTGATACAAAAAAAGCATAGATCTATGTATATCGTATATCTCTCCCCTTTTATTTCTAGGTCAAATGCCCCTCCCACCAACACAAGATTTGAATGAAGGAGAAAATAAATATTACAACAAGATCGTCTTACGACAGAGACAAGATAAGAAAAAAAAAGAAAAAAAAAGAAGAAGAAAAGCCAGTTGTAGATTACAAAAACCAGCGGTGGATATCACAAAACAAATCCTGAATCGTTAATTTCCCCATGAAAACCTGATATCCCTTCCCAAGCCGTCATGATAGATATTGTTGCCTTGTCCTCCCTTGTGTTTTACATCAAGCCACCTAGGACAACCTTACCGACACCGCCAACCTCGCTCTTGACACCAGCACGACAGCTGTCTTCAAACTCTCTTACAACACCGGCGAGGATAATCTTCCGGACTCGTGCGTCGGCCTTGTTGAACAAGTCACCGACAATACTGGGGACACCTCCACCGGCCATGGCGACGCTCTCGGGGGTACTCAGCATGGACAGGATGCGCGTGTAGCAATCGATGAGGACGTCGCACAGTGTGGCAAAAGTGCTGAAAAAGTCCGGGTCAAAGGGTAGCGACGGGGTCTGCAGGTGCGTATAGGACTCGTTTGGCAGGAGCAAGTCATCAGTCGGTGGCGAGTCGATGCCCATGCCCTCTGTGCCGTTGAAGCTGTTGCTTGGGGTGAGGATAGGAAAGTCACCGGTTGCACTGCTACTACGACGACCTTTGCTACCCATGCCCATCGTCATGCCCATATTTGCGCGCTTAAACATTTGCGGAAGGCGAGCACGACTCAGGGTCGAAGGAGTAGAGCCGTCGGCAGGGTGCATGGACTGGTACTGCTCAAACTCGATGAGCAAGGCATTGAGGGCCTTGAGGTAGTCGGCGGGCGAGTTTGCGTTGAGGTCGAGGATGGTGGGGAGGGAGAAGCCGAGGAGGAGGTAGTGGGTAGCGCGGCGGGCTTGGTTGCGTGAGGTGAAGGAGGGGAGACGGGTGAGGTCGGATTTGGAGAAGAGGAGCGTGTTGAACCAGTATATTCTGCCTTCGTGACTGCAGCGGAGGATTGTTAGCTTTTGGAAGGGCAGGTGGGAGGGAGGGCAATGGAGGAGAAGAGGAAGAGAGGGCCATACGCCTTGCGGAGGTAGTCGAGCGTGGAGATGCGCTTCGAGGCGAGCTCCTGAATATGCTGGAAGACAAGGTTTGGGTTTGAGCCATTGGGGACGGGGATGGGGGCGGCGGGGGCGAGGGTGCGATTGGACTGCTGGTTTGCGTGCAGAATGTCCTTTTGGGTAGGCGGGTGGCGCAGGGGCATGGGCACCGCCATTGCGAAGGGATTCTTGGGCTTGTCGACGGCGCTCGAGGGGCTCTGAGGGGCGTCGTGGGCCTTTTGCTTCGAGGAGCGAGTAAAGGTGGAGACGGAGAGGGTCGGGCGCTGGGGGTGGGCTGGCTGGGGCGCGGGGGCCTTGTCTGCTTCGGCAAGGGCCAGCGTGATCGAGGGCGTCCTCGTGTGCGACGAGGACGACGTCTTGCGGGTGCTAGACGAGTTTGTGGTGCGCAGTGAGGCCGAGCGCGAGGTGCGTAGCTGGGAGCCGAGATCCGTGACGGATGAAGCGATGCTATGTCTGCTTACGTGGCGGCGGCGCTGGGGGGTTGTGGGCTGCTGCTTGGTGGGGTCGTCGGATGAATCGTAGGGAGGGGGCGTGTTTAATCTATTAGGAACGGCAGCATCGGTGGCAGCAGCAGCATCAGCAGAGTTGGCGATGGGCGGCGCGGGCTGGACATGGAGCTGGGGCGGCGCAGTGTCTGCGGGGGCAGCATGGGAGTGGGAGAGCGACGAGGCGGCGCCGTGTCTGGAGGCGGTGCGATGCCGGCCGCCGAAGAAGGAGGGCCGCCGGGAGAAGATGCCGTGCTGGTGCTGCTGTGTCTGCTGGTGGAGGGGCAGGTGTTGGTGTTGTTGGTGGTGGTGGTGGTGGTGGTCGGCCATGGTGAGCTGGAGGCCTCCAGCCAGCCAACAAGGGTGGGGGCTACCGAGCGATCAGGGGCGCTGTTTCACCCTTGGGCCCTGCCTGAACATGCGCCCGCGGCCTGGCTGACGGGCTATAGTTCTTGATAGTCGATTGGCGATGTATATGTCCAGATGTATGTATCGCGACAGCGACAGCGACAACAACAACAACAAGCCGACCGCAGGACGCGACAGACTCGGCGGACCGGGGCGCCACGAGCTTTAAACACGAAGCGCGTTCCACGAGCACCATGCGCTGCTGCGACAATGCCAAAATTCAGGCCGTGTTTCGGTTCGCGGTGCCAGCTGATGGACTGCGCGCCTATCATCCATCCCATCCATCCCCAGCTTGACCAACGCAGGAACAGCCAGGCCGGAGTAGGCCCACACCCCCTGCCACTCCTCCACCACCACTCCCCCTCTCCGCCATACAACCACCCCCCTCAAGCCAGCAGCCGCCCGCCCTGCCTGTCCTCTCTCTAACATCTAATATCCTTTCCCTGCGCCCCCTTCTCCATTGCACCCACGCTGCCTCTGCCCCCCACCGCCCACTGCCTACTATGCAGCGCAGACACAGCGCCCGAGTATGTACTTAGCATGCCCTCGCCCACACGCTCCAAGCCCGCCTGCTAACCCTCTGCAGGGAGAATGGATCCCCACCCAAGGCCAATGGCCCGTCGATCCCCAGCAGGACATGCCCGTCTCTGACGACCGCATCTGGGTCGACGGCTGCTTCGACTTTGCCCACCACGGTACGCCCATTGCCCCTCTGCACCGCCTCCACCTTCACCATGCTCACTCTCCCCCCCCCCCAGGTCATGCCGGCGCAATGCTGCAGGCCCGCCAGCTGGGCACCGAGCTCTATGTCGGCGTCCACTCGGACGAAGCCATTCTCGAGAACAAGGGCCCGACCGTAATGCGCCTCGACGAGCGGTAGGCCTCCTCGCTGCACCCCTAAACGCCATGCGCCGGCTGATTGCCATAGTGTCACCGCCGTCGAAGCCTGCCGATGGGCAACCAAGGCCGTCCCTCGAGCACCCTACGTTACCTCGCTGCCCTGGATCACCCACTACGGCTGCCAGTATGTTGTCCATGGCGACGACATCACCTCGGACAGCGATGGCCGCGACTGCTATCGCTACGTCAAGCAGGCCGGCCGCTTCAAGGTCGTCAAGCGCACCCCGGGCATCTCGACAACCGACCTCGTCGGCCGCATGTTGCTGTGCACACGCTCCCACTTTATCCCTTCCCTCGACAAGCGCTTGACCGGTGAAGAGGGCCCTGGCGACGAAGCAGAGCGCACAAAGGCTGGCCAGGAAATGTTGCAGCGCATCAAGGACTATGCAACCGATGCCTCGGGCCGTGCGCCTGGCTGCGATGTTTGGTACTGGCATGCTTCTCGACCCGTCAAGCTACGGAGAACCACGACCAGCGCCGTTACCAGCCCTACCCGTCCCGATCACCCCCGCCAGGAATCCGCGGTCTCGCAAGTAGGCCCCGTTAGGGAGGAAAAGGGCAAGTTCAATCAGCTCGTCCAGGGCAAGGGGCTCAAGGAAGGCCAGTCGGTCGTCTACGTCGACGGCGGCTGGGATCTGTTTTCCTCTGGCCACATTGAATTCCTGCGCTCCGTCACACAGTGCGAAGAAGACCGCGCGAGGGAAAACGGATGGTACACGGAAGAAGCCAAACAGGAGCGCATACAAAAAACCGGCCAAGACTATGGCCCGGTCTTTTTGATTGCCGGCATCCATGACGACGAGGTCATCAACCACTGGAAAGGCATCAATTACCCGATCATGAACATTTTTGAACGTGGTCTATGCGTTTTGCAGTGCAAGGTACGCGCGCCCCGCTTGGGTGATTTTTGTAATTACATACTAACTTGTTCAGTACGTCCACGCTACCATTTTCGGCGCTCCTTTCTCCCTTAGCAAGGCCTTCCTCCACGCCCTCCCCTATTCGTCTCCCCTGACCATCTACCATGGCAAAACTACCTTTATGCCTCTCCAGTTCGACCCCTACGCTGTACCCAAGGCGATGGACATTTACCGCGAAATTGGCGACCATGGCTTCCAAAATGTCAATGCCGCCGAGATTGTCGCCAGAATCATGAAGGGCAGGGCTCTGTACGAAGAGAGACAGCGCAAAAAGGGCGAAAAGGGCATCACTGAGGATGCAGAAAAGCTTCGACAGGAGATGGAGCGCGAGCAGAGGAGGAGGGAGGTTGAGGGCCAGTTTGGCTTGTGATATTGTGGTCGGCCCTACTTGGTCGGGGCGCTGCACGAATGTGAGTAGTGCGTTGGGCTTCTCTGGCTTGGCCATTGAACCAGACCCGGCGTTTCTCCCTTGACTGTCAACAGACGCCAAGTCTAGACTGAGCCTCGAATTGATCCTTGCTGCGAGGAACATGTTCGGTTTTTCTCCACGATGAGATCCAACGATGGGATCCAAATCGCCCGTATCAACCTTGATTAGACCCTCTCGCTTGCATCCAAAAGCAACACTAGCTAAGGTCTTGGTGATATCATCACAATAGCCACCATGGTCAGCCGCTGACGGCGCCTCTTCAGGCACATGAATGCTACACTGCATCGGGCATTGCCGATATAGGGCAAAGTGCCATGTGATTGATTGCCTCAAGACTCCACATTACACTTTGTCCTACCCCACTGGTCTCCGCACTGGGGGGCCTTTCATAAGGTGGATCAACAATCAAATAGCGAATTTCTCAATATCCCTTCATTCTCAGCCACCAGTTTTGCACATTGTGAAATGCAACCTTTCTTGTCATGACTATCGTAACCCCCGTTGCTGTTTTCCTCCTCATAGCTGTCGGCCTGTTGTATGCTGTGATCAGGTTCTGGCAAAACAGGCATGCTCTGCCTCTGCCCCCAGGACCCAAGGGGATCCCTATACTGGGAAACGTCAACGACATGCCCAAGCCAGGCATGCTCGAGTGTCATCACTGGTTGCAGCACAAAGAGCTATACGGCCCCATTTCCTCGGTGAAAGCTATGGGCCAGACCATTATTATCCTCAACGACCCTACCATTGCTCTCGACCTCTTGCGCGACCGTTCTGCAATCTACTCGTCACGCCCCAGCCTCGTCTTTGCCGGCGACATGTAAGTGAACATATTTGTTCTGGGATAGATGGGCTGATGCTGACTGCGATTCTCTTGCTATAGGGTGGGTTGGCGCCATGCCACTGTCATGATACCCTACAACGACGTTTGGAAAATACACCGGAAGAATATCACAAAGATTACGAATACGAGTACATCGCTTTCAGTGTTTGACCGCGTCCAGGAGGCCGAAGCCGCGCGGCTTCTGGTCAATCTGTTGGAGTCGCCGGGTCGGCTGCTTGAGCATGTTCGTAGGGAAGCTGGGAGCGTGATTTTGAAAATCACATATGGATACAACGCTGTCCCACATGGAAAGGATCCACTGGTTGTTATGGCGGAAAAGACTATGGAGCAGTTTACTGAAGCTACTGTTCCCGGACGGTGGGCTGTTGACATTTTCCCATTCAGTTCGTCGTGTTCTTTCCTCAGAGACCATCGAGAAGTACTTTCTGACTTCGTTAGTGCAATACATACCCGACTGGATGCCCGGCACAGGCTTCAAACGCACAGCAAAGGAAATGGCAAAACAGCTCGATCAATGCATAGCCTGGCCCTACCAATTCGTCAAGCAGCAAATGAGAGAAAAGAGACATACGCCATCCTTCCTCTCTCAAAGCATTGAAAGTGCAGATAGCACCCCAGAAATGGAATTCTACCACAAATGGGCAGCCCTCGCCCTCTATCTCGGCGGCGCCGACACTGTGAGTCCCTTATCTACACCACCATAACCGCCTTTCCAAGCCATAAACTCACTCTCATCCCACCAGACCGTCTCGGCAATATCAACATTCTTCCTCGCGATCCACCTCTTCCCTACAGTTCAATCCAAAGCCCAACAGGAAATCGACTCCTTAACCCAGGGCCTCCGTCTTCCCACCTTAGCCGACCTCCCAAATCTCCCATACATCTCCGCCATAGTCCAGGAAACACACCGCTGGCACCTCGTCGCTCCCATGGGGATCCCACATACGAGCACGAGAGAAGATGAGTATAGAGGTTACCGTATCCCCAAAGGCTCTGTATTGCTAGCAAACAATTGGGGTTTTATGCATGACCCGGCCGTGTACCGTGATCCCATGGCATTTCGCCCAGAGCGCTTTATAGCGACTGAGGGAAGAGACGCGGAACCAGAACCGCGCACGCATGTGTTTGGATACGGTAGAAGGATATGTCCTGGGAGACAAGTAGCAGATCACGCCTTGTTCGTCACAATCGCACAGACACTTGCTGTTTTCAACGTTTCTCCCAGTGTAGACTCCAACGGACGCGTGAAGCGGAGCGAAGTCAAATTCGAGCCAGGCACAATAAGTCGACCCGTACCCTTTGAATGCCGCATCACACCTCGATCCGATGCGCATATCGAGTTGATCCAGGAGGCAGGGCAGAGATTCGCATATGAAGAAAGCGATGCTCAGGAACTCGAGAACGTGAAATGGCAGTAGCAGTAGTAGTAGTAGTAGTAGTATATAGCAGTAACATCCCACATAAGCCTCCACACCACACAACCTAACAATACGTACCGTACTACCATACCTCACACATAAATACATCATCACACACCAACAACAGGCGCAACACCCTCCCCCCTCTCCCTCCTCAACCACCCCACTCCCCCATAAACCGCACTCGCCACCCCACTCCCCAGCAAAGGCCCCACCCAGTAAATCCAATGATACCCCGTAAACCCGCCCACCACGGCGGGCCCAAAACTCCGTGCCGGGTTTAAACTCGCACCCGTATAATACACACTACACACGTGCGCGACGAACAGCGACGCACCAATGTACATTGGCTTGGCCCAGCCGGCGTCCAGCATGAGGATGGTGAGGATGAGTTGGGAAGTGACGAAGGCTTCGAGGAAGAGGGCGCGGGTTATGGAGATGGAGGGGGAGAGGGTGGTGGCGATGGTGAGGGGGCCGGGGAGGAGGGCCGAAGTGAAGGCCGAGGCGGCGATGGAGGCGATGAGTTGGGAGAGGATGGTTTGGGTGGCGCGGTGCCAGTGGATTTTGCGGGTGAGGTAGAGGGCCGTTGTTACCTTTTGGGGGAAGGGGGGTTATTGGTATACTTTGCTTATATTGGACATGGGGGGAAGGAGGAGGGGGGAAGGGGACGTACGGCTGGGTTCTATACCTTGTTAGTCCTTTTGTTTTCCCTTTCTTTTGATAAATAAATAGGTTGATAGGAATCGGAGGAGGAGGAGGAGGAGGAGGAGGAGGAGGAGTGGATGACGTACGAATTTCCCACCACTTATATCAGCGAAAATAGCAACGTTAATCGCGAGTGAGGCACCAAACGCAAAGGCTATGTACAGTAGTTTTGATACGTCGGGAAGGGGGTCGCCGCTACCGGATAGCTCTTTGCTGCCCGCTGCGTTTAGGGCGATTTGTGTGCCGGTGAAGGCGAGGGAGAGGAACATGAAGGTGCCGATGAATTCGCCGATGAAGGCGGCAGCTTCGGTACGGAGGGTATGGCGAGACCGGGGGGTTTGGGAGGGGGGTGTTGTGGTTGTGTTGGTGGAGGGTTCGTGGAGGGGGAGGCTGGGGGTCTGGTCTTTGGAGTTGAGAGACATGGTTGCTAGAGGGAAAGACAGGATGGAGAATTTCTTTGGTTTGGGAAGATACGAAGGCTTTTGTGGTGGAGAGGAAGAGTTTGGTGGTGAATTTGTAGTCTGATGTTTGTGACTAATATCTTGATACGGTGCGGTTGTATGAGTATGACTGAGCTGTTGTTCCCCCACTCTCAGACTTGAAGAGTAAATTACCTGCTCAACACGAACCTATTGTTGGAAGGATAGTCGATACACAACGCTGAGTCCTGTGTCTTGGGTGTGTTATTGCCGTGGCGTGGAGACGGATGGGTTGTGATTGTAGGATCTGGTGCTCCAAGTTCCATTCAGCGATGCAACACAGACTTGGTCGCCTGACTTCAGAAATGCTGTAGAATCTTAGCTATAGGGAAAAACTCCCTTGGAATCGATCTACCCTTTGTTTCCGATAACGGGTTTGCTTAGTGTAGCACAGATTTGGGTAAGATGTGCTCTGGCGTGGATGTATGTATCTTGTGTAAGTGATGGCATCAAAACCTACCAATGACCTTACTATTGGGTATGTATGTCTGTATATCTACGGCGAGAGTATGGAGTGTTGTTGGGAAGTTGTGTAATCTTGGAACTGGCAGTCATTGACTGCCGTTATTTTGACAGGTCGGTAAGATTGATCACTTCAGGCGCCTTTTGTGCCTATGCCTTGACTAGACTAGCTTCAAAAAGCACCACGGTTGAAACTTCAACAATGGAATGATCTCCGTAAAATACGCCCCTGTCAGATATATATATATATACAGCATAGAGCGACACTGACGAAATTCTTCTCTGCACCAGAGAACCAATCCTAGGTTTCGGCGCAGAATCATTCTCTTCTTTCTATCAAATATAGTCCGTGTTAGTCTCCTCAAAAACAGTGATCGTAACTAGAAATACTTTTCTTGCGCGCACAAGTACGTCGGACAAGGTGTGTGAATGGTCGAATAAAATAACGGGCGTACAACATACCCTGCCAGCCCTATGTCGACTCACGTCTGGTACCGAGTATATGGTGCTGCTGTTACACGCTCTAGCAGAAGGTCCGCCTTCAGCCAACTTGCTTTTGTGTAGCTTTTGTAAGCAATCATTTTGCACCCAAGATTTCACAGCTCTAGCTCCAAGGACAGTGATGTCGATTACAGAATCAGGAGAGATCATTCTCAACGTCACACCAGCGCACTTGGCGCTTTCGATGTGTCGTGCTCGCTGCAGTCAAAACCACTATGTCGGGGTATTCCCGTCGCACATGCTTCATCTGCTTCGCGCCAATGCGCTTTGTCAGTGCATTGTGCACCAGTGTAGATGAGATGATTTATGTTTAATGCCAGACTAAGGGGACATGCAGACCTCACATAGCTTGGGATGCAACTAGTCTGTTTAGTCTGTGCGTTGTTTTCACCAACGAGTTGTTCGAAATACTTATACCTACAGTTACATCTTCAACGTGCATTGAATTTTGAGTTATCGATACTGAAGTCTCACCCCTGACTTCGCTAGGCTGAGCTGGTAAACTGATGGTAACCGCGTAGTCAAGATGGTGTACCAAACCTCACGTTACCCAGATGACGTCGGAGATTTCTCTAATCCTGCGGGCCCTTCATACCGAAGGTCACGGTTCACACTCCGACGCTCACTACGTACTAAGTCGATACTAGCACCAACGCAGGTTAGGAACCGGGGTTACTTCTCCAGGAGTGCACGCCAATCTTTTGCACATGGCCCACTGTTCCCCGCTATGCACTCATCGACGATGTCTCTACCATCACTCTGCAGGCTTTCTAATCATCTATCCAAGCGCCACCCCGCACACTAATACATATCTAGGCCTATAAATATCACAAAGAGAAAAGCCATGTGTGCGCCACACGAAGTGCACATGATTGTCTACCAAGTTTTAGCTTATTACGTACCTACAATCGAGTACTGCAGGCATCCGTGACGGACGGGAAACTATAGATATCTTGGCCAAGATCAGCGATTCTAGATCTGCAAACCACAAATGCGCAGTGCGAGACGTCAACCGATTGTCAAGATACCCCACACCCTGCGTACTACTGTCCCAAGCGTTGCATTAGCGCTCGATCACCCTACTCCAAATGGACGGATCAAATTAAGCGATGATAGAAATCTTGGATAGCCGCTCTCCCGCTCCGGCAAGAACTTAGTCTTTGATCGCGCGCAAGGGACAGGACTTGGATATTTATCCAGAAAAGGCCGGTTGTTCCTAATGTGGAGTTGAATTCACCAGCCACGTACGAAATCGTACGTCGTTTTTTCCATCTAACCAGGGCCTAGCCACAAAAAGTATATTAACATATCGATGGGCAGGCGTAGCGTATGGATATCATTAGTAGTGTCGAAATTAAACCGAAAGTTACCCGTAAAAAGCAAAAGGGGAATTTGTAATGACGAAGGTTTTTGTATTGAAGCTGAATACGAGAGCTGGAAGGTATGAGGCGAAATAGCAGCGGGCTCAATTTAAAAGCATGACGGTTTTCTCTCAGTTCCTTCATTGCATCAACCACACCAAGTATGCGCTCCGCGATTCTAGTTCTCCTTGCCACCCCCTCGGCGCTAGCTTTCCCATGGCTCAAACCCGAAGGTCTCGAGGCTCTCTTGAAACATCCAGAGGCAAGCGCTGAAATCCAGCGTAAGCTGCAAAGCCGGAGTGCTGCTTCAGCAGAGCCTCGCCAACTCTTAGGCACCCTCAAACCCATTCTGGACCCTTTGCTAGGACTAATCCCAACATCCGACTCTGTGAAGGGGTTGAAGAGATTCCCTGAGGGTATGTATACTGTAGTTAGTTCACACAGGTTACTAACGAGTCCCAGCGGACTACCCTTTTCAGCCTCCTGGCCCTACTGACCAGCGCGGTCCCTGCCCTGGTCTCAACACATTGGCAAATCATGGATGTAAGTTCTTCACTCTGACCTTACCATGTAGTCAACTAACAAGTCTAGACATCCCACGAAATGGCATTGTGACAATCGCCCAAATCCAATCTGGAACAGAAGCTGTCTTCAACATGGCCCCAGATCTAAGTGCACTCCTGGCCACTGGCGGAGCCCTCGACGGTGGCGACATTCTCTCCACTAAGATGAGCATCGGCGGACCCGACGCACGCGTAGGCATCCTAAACGGGGCCCTCAACTCCCTGCTCGGCACCCCCTCAGGTATCGCAGGCCACGGCAAATTCAACGAAGGCGACGCCTCGGCTACCCGCCTCGACTTCTACCTCCAAGGTGACAACATCTCCTTCCAACCCACCCTCTTCAAGCAACTCCACCAGCAAGCCCTTGCCCACGGCAACGGCACCTACAACACCGACGCCATCAAAGAACACTTCAAGTCTCGCTACTCCGCCTCCCGCGCCTCCAACCCTCAATTCTACTTCAACCTCCCCTCCGCCGCCGTTGTAATGGGTGCCTACTACTTCATCCCAGGCTTCTTCTCCAACGGTACCCTCGCAAACGAAGCTTCCATCACGAGTTTCTACGGCGCGAAACCGCGTCAGCCAGGCAAATGGGACGACCCGGAGCTAGAATACACAAGTGTGCCTGAGCGGATCCCAGAGCAAGGATGGTACCGCCGCGCGACGCCCATGACGGTCGTCGAGGCCGCAGCAGGTATCCTGGATGTCTATCTAGACGCTAGACCGGCCATTGGGGGTGCGGGCGCGGATCAGGCGTGGGTGGTGGGACCCGTAAGCATACCAAATAACCCCCAGGCGCTGGCGTGTTTCCTGTACAATGCCGTGTATGCGAATTTTCCGAGTGAGCTGTTTGGGTCGGTGCTGCTGGTGCAGGGTGTGGTTAATTTTCTGAGTGGCTTGCTGGTGCCTGGGTATAGGGCGTTGGGGTGTCCGAGGGATTTCCCCGATATGAGTGGGTTTAGCGAGGCGGGTTATGATGAGTGGGCAAAGGGGTACACGGGGGAGGCGAAGACGAAGGGCGTGGGGAGTGGATGGTATAGGAAAGGGTGAGGGATGATGGTGGTGCTCATGTAAATCTTGTGGCTGGCCCAGTACGCAGAGTCATTTCAATCTTCATTTCAGTCTTGTGTTGTATGTCATTTGTTGGGCTCAATGGCAGCTTGCCGAGCATCTCGCTTTTAGTACTACTTATTATTTTTTGTCAGTGTCTACCGAGCTTAGCGTCTTGTCACACGGGATGTACAGATGTTCGAGTCGCTTGCTATCTGTCAAGAGAGACAGCAGCGGCTCGATACGAAAAAGCTAACCGAGTCAAGTCGAGCCTTTCCATACACGGTATCTCATAAACACCAACCAACTTCTAAATTTGTTTTTCTCCTGTCATGTCGTGCAGCAGAGCTATCATGTCGATCTGCTGTCATTCGACAAGATCGATCCCGTATGCTCGATAGGGAAAATTCTCTAGACTGTGTCTCATCTCCACCACTCCGTCCTCTGACATCAGGCGTCCATCTTTGCCAACCACAGGACCTCTCGCTTCGCCTTGAACAGGAGTTGCATAGTCGGGTACCTGACCATCAGCCTCTGTTCTCCCCATCAGGACATCCATCTCGCGTCCCTTGCAGACCCGTGCTAAGCCCTGATGTGGCACCCACACCACACGCATGCCAGCCCGCCGTGCAGCTTCAACCCCCGCGATTGAGTCTTCAAAGACCAGACATTCGTGGGGCTCAAGCGCGCGGTCTCCATGTGCCGTGTTGGTAGCATTCAGCCGCTTGAGAGCAAGAAGGAAGATATCGGGCTCAGGCTTCTTCTTGCTATCCGACATTTCTGGGTCGTCGCCGAACACTTGCAAAGCTGAGTCTTGAAATGTTCGCCCAATGCATGGCAGATGTGATGTCTTCAGCGCAAACTTCTCACGCCCTGCAGAGCTAGCTAGCGACAGCAGTATAGGTGGCGCGGTCTGGAATTTCAGTGTACGCAGGAGATGATCGACGCCAGCGAGCGTCTCGCTGTTCTTGAACAAATGTGTATGTGCTTTCTCTTTTGACGCCCACTCAGCTGGGGAAAGTGGTACCTGCGCCCAAGCGAGAAGGCGATTGGTGCCCTGCATGCAAACCTGAGGAGCTGAAGATTGCTTTTGATTGTGGGGAGACCCTTACACGTGAGCCTCTGCTCTGCTGCGTGGCTTTAATGGCCCAGGGGTATTCGGGCCTTCTATATTCTCGCAGAATGTGGTTGTAAATGGTAGTGTAAATGTCCTCCGAGTTGATAAGGGTGCCGTCCACGTCGAAGATGCACGCCCGAACAGGCGGTAAGGCCTGAGTCATTACTGGCTGTCAGAATCCAAACCCTAATTAGAGGCAGCTGGCTGTGGCGCAGATGTTGAGACTTGGTGGTGGTGGTGGTGAGACCTGCCAGGCACTCTTCTACTCTCGTTGGGTGCCGTACCCACCGGTCTACCCCGCAGTGGCTAGCCAGCCTGGGCCTAACTCGCGTTGTACAAGTGAAGTTTGCTGAAGCCACGGCGCCCCCTGGCACCACGGCCATTAGGATTTTGTTGAGGTATACGTAAGTAACTACGATCTCTACGCTTCGTCTGCCCTGTGTCTACATCGTCAGTTACCGCCAAAGCGTCTGGAGTGGGCGGTCGAGGCTGAGAGGCTGAAAGGAATAGGTATCAGGTGATACTCATTCCAGATAGGACATGTACTCATCCTCATGGATGTAGTGTAGTACATAATAGGCTTATGTGGGGCAGACTGGTTATCTACACAGGGTTCAAGGGCCTGCTTATTCACCAAGCTCTTTACACACCAAGGGTACAAAAGTCCAGAATAGAGCGATAACGCTGGGGCAGTGAACATCCTGCCTTGGCAATATGAACGTGACAACAAGGGGTCTTCCAGAGCTGTCGACACCCCACGACGGGACGATCCCAATAGGTGTAGTCAGAACGCCCTCTGCCGTGTTGTTCAGCTAGTTCGTCCCTCATCAGGCCTCCAATGGCGTTCTTTGCCGGTGGGCCTCGATTCAATTTTGATAGCAGTAAGTAGTCACGGCAAACTAGTCTTTGCTCTGAATCGCCCAGGACGATTGGCGAGATGCAATGTTACCAGGGCGTGCTGGTTCATGTGCCCGGCACGTGGGCAGCGCCTCTGAAAAAATTAATCTTCGTCTATACATGAGCTCCATTTGCTCATGACTCGACTGGGCAACAATTGTGGTTGAGAATGGTACTCGGCCGAGCATATGGCCGCGGAATTTGAATGTCCGTGGACTTTTAGAAATAGAAGACTGCTTCTAATCGTGGGGCAATGGAGGATTTGAAATGCTCAGTATGGTAGCTAGTAGTGGCCTGGAGGATTTGCAGCTAGTTGCCTGAATCCTGGATACAGCACTGTCGCTGTGCAAGGCTGATCTTGGCATCTAATGCGTATGGGCAAGTTACTCATGTGATAAATCAAGAAGCCAGGAGATTGTGCAGAGATAATTCGAAAAAGGGGCGACGTTAAAGAGGTGCTATTGGGCAGGAAAGGCCAAGAAGACTCCTTTTTTGGCGTCGCCGCTGCTTGGCGGCTGGGGTTATGCAGGGCAGTCGACGGCTTCGATAAAGGTTGAAACTAAGTGTGCGAAGCGCTAAGACTCTCTTGGGCCCGAGGGTGGTACACAAAACGGTGTGTGAGAAGCATGACTCGAACCATCATGGAACAAACGGCTTTCCAACGGACGACTTGGTGTGCTCCGGTGAATCTGGGGCTGTGGACAGAAGCAAAGCTGAAAATAATAGTGCCCCACAGGCTACAGACATGCATGTGAAGCCAGCCAGGGCCCCCTAATTTCATTCTTGTGTAGTTTAGTGATGCAGAAGGCCGCGCAGTATGCGTAGCTGGCATACACATGCTTGTTCCCGCCAACTCAGCTGCTGGAAGAGTAAAGTGGCGGCGACGTTGGACAGGGCTGAGCGAGGTATACTTCCAGCTGCCTTAGCCCCGGGTTACCTGTCTCTACTTACCCAGCCACAAGACTACTACTGCCAGACAGCCTCTCTTGGCCATTTTCACCAAGAGCCGTGTCTTTGCGCGCTAGCAAAGCCACTTCTTTGCTGTCTGTTCCCACATTGTGCATTTGCTTAGCGCCAGTATAATATTATCTCACCAAGTATGCCTCGCGGGGCGGCTCGCATGACCGACAGGGCCTTGCCGTGAGATTTGCAAGGGGGAACCATCTGCTGCCTATCTCGCCCAATGCTGACACGATTCCATATCTATCGACCCGCTGGTGTGCATCGGCCAAAACGCTCCAAATCGAGTGTGCTCAAGTGCCAAATCCATTGATGACGACGGATTTGGTGTTGCACCCAACACTGCGGGCTGTCGGGTCGGTGAAGCTAGCGGTGCCTTAGTAAAAGACCAGCGGTGCTAAACTTAGCCCACGTTTGTAAGTTTTCTTCCGTCAACACCACGCTAGATGCCGCGAACCCAACTCGGTCTGAGGCCTCGGATGCTGGACGTGTGCGCTGTCATGGCGCAACCCGGATCCTCACATGGGCCTCATGGACCACGCCGCAGTCACTCGCTTGCGGCCATTTGTCCAGCCAGGCTACCCCAAGCCTTCAGTCTGGAGTACTCCTCCAGTGCTTACCCATCCACGACGCAATAGGAAACTTCATGAATAGATAAATTGATCCTTGACTTAGCTCTGTGCTTGATTGGCCGGGATAAGGCACGATACCCATCTGGCGAGAACCAAGCTGCGGGACGCACGCCCTAAGCGAGTAGCAACGAGATAGCGACACTCGGCCTCTTCCTATTCCGCTTTTCAGCCGTAATACGGGGACCATGACTATTGAATCGTTCCAGTTTTTTTCTAGCTGCTTCCTGTTCGCCCTCGCCGCCACTACCATGCAGCTCACCCCCCGCCTAGCTAAACTACCGAAGCTGACGGACTAGGTTTTCGTCGTGTCGAAGTGACCGGATTAGGCGTACTATTGGCCAATGTCTCGATCTCCTCGCTCTCTGCCATTATGGGAAGCATATATAGATATCGGCTGGGGTGCCATCTAGAGTTCACAGGGCTCATCGACCGGGCGATCATTCCTGCCTGTCGAGACTTTTCTCGATACCGTCTTCCTCTGTCCTTCGGTTCTGCCATCGTTTCTTGCCTCACATGGCGCCCCCTCATGCTCTCAGGCTGTCCCACAGCCTGCTCCTGGCACTTTCTGTAGCATCTACAGTCAGTGCACAGGAGCCCAAGGTCGGATGGCACGCTGAAGGTTGCTACACCGACTCGGTCCAAGCACGGTCGCTGTCGGCACCCTATGGAGTAACTGGTGGTATGACAAACCAGAAATGCAGAGACGCATGCCGAACAGCATTTTTCACCTATGCTGGTACCGAGTATGCCGGAGAATGCTTCTGCGACAACCAATTGCGGAATCAGGGCCGACCGGCTCCCGACGGCAACACAGGATGCAACATGGCCTGCAACGGAAACCAAACAGAAATTTGCGGAGGTCCCGACCGATTGACCTTGTGGAGGTTCTATACGGGCAACGAAGCCAGCACCTCTTCTGCTGTTTCCAGTGCTCCAGCTTCCAGTCCGGCCGTTTCCAGTGCTGCCGCTTCCACTACTGCTGTTCCCGCTACTACCACCACACCTACGACTACTGCTCAAGCCAGCACGTCCAGCGCCCCACCAGCTGCCAGCGGTCTTCCTCAAGGCTTCCAATACAAGGGTTGCTTCGTCGATGGACCTGGATACCGTATTCTCAACAACCAACAGCCCGATGATCAGCAAATGACAGTTGCATCATGCACCAGGAAATGTGCCCAGGCCGGTTTCGAGATCGCCGCCATGGAGTATAGCTACCAGTGTTTCTGTGACAACTTTGTAAGCATTCCTAATGCCCTCCATTCGTACCCGGATACTGACTTCAACAGATCAGGATGGGAGGTGCACTGGCTCCGTCCGAGTCCGAGTGCAACACCAAATGTTCAGGAAATCAAGCCGAGACATGCGGAGGTCCCAACAGGATGAGCATCTATTCCAGCCAGAATCCCCTTAAGGTCTATCAGCCACCAAAGCCCATTCAGACTGTAGGTGGCTGGAAGTACCAAGGCTGCATTACTGATATCGGTGGCCAAGTTTTCCCGTGGAAGTCTGTCAACGAGACTGGCAACTCACCAGAATGGTGTCTTAGCAAGTGTCAAGAATTCGGCTTCATGCATGCTGGATTGGAGTATGGCCAGGAGTGCTTCTGTGGTGATTTGGATGGCATCGAGAAAGCCGGTTCCAAGCCTGCTCCCGAGTCGGAATGTAACATGTCGTGCCCCGGTCAACCTGAGGCTATCTGCGGCCAGGGTAACCGTCTGTCCCATTACAAGTGGGAGGGGGCTGATCCGCTGTATGTGTGGAACTACCCCAAAGGCAACGCGGCTGGACGTTATGAGTTCTTGGTCGGTGGTCCGATTATCCCATTGATTTCGCAGCCCGCGGTCAACGGCAAGATTTCTCTCCTCGAGAAGTACGGAACTGGAGAGCCAAACTCAACCGGTGCTTACGAGCTCGACCCTTCAATTGGAGGTGATATCTTCCACGCCTTCCGTGAGTTGACCGGTATCAAGACCGACATCTTTTGCGCTGCTGGTTTGACTCTTCCTGACCGTGCTGGTCGCCAGATTAACATTGGTGGCTGGTCAACTGATTCCTTGTTTGGTGTGCGCATGTACACGCCAGACGGCAAGCTTGGCGTCAACGGTACCAACAACTGGCAGGAGGATGTGAACACTGTGAAGCTGCAACAGGGTCGCTGGTATCCTACCGGTCTCCTCATGGCTAACGGTTCAATGCTCATCGTCGGTGGCCAGGACGGCTCTAACGGTCCCCCCGTGCCAAACATGGAAATCCTCCCCAAGGCTGGAGCAGTCAAGCACGCACAGTACTTGCAAGACACTGACCCATACAACCTGTACCCCTTCCTTGTCGTGCTTCCATCCGGTGGTATCTTCATCCAGTACTACAATGAAGCGCGCATCCTGGATGAGGTCACCCTCGACACCAAGACCATTCTGCCAAAGGTTCCGGCTGCTGTCACCGACCCTACGGGAGGCCGAACCTACCCATACGAAGGTACTCAGGTTCTTCTTCCTCAGTATTACCCTTATACCGATCCTCTTGAGGTTCTCATCTGCGGTGGCGCAGCGAAGAACCCGCGCTATGGACTCGACAACTGCGTCAGCATGGCACCAGATGTTGCCCAACCCAAGTGGACAATTGAGCGTATGCCATCCCGTCGCGTCATGTCCTGCATGGCAACTCTCCCAGATGGCACCTTCTTGATCTTGAACGGAGCTGAGATTGGTGAAGCTGGTTTTGGTCTCGCCGAGAACCCAAACCTGAACGCCGTCTTGTACGACTCTAGGAAGCCCAAACACCAACGCATGAGCATCATGGCCAACACCACCATTGCGCGCTTGTACCACTCCGAGGCTGTAGTAATGGATGACGGAAGAGTACTCGTGTCTGGCTCAGACCCGCAGGACAACGTGCACCCCCAGGAGCATCGATTGGAGGTCTTCCTTCCCCCATACCTCCTCTCTGGTATCGCCCAGCCAACCTTTGATCTTCCTCAGAACGACTGGAACTGGGAGGCCAGCTATTCCTTCACTGTCACATCTAGCGCAGGTGGAGCCATCAAGGTCTCGCTTATGGGAGCCGAGTCTAGCACGCACGGTAGCTCCATGGGTGCACGTATCCTGTTCCCTCAAGTTACCTGCTCTGGAAACGCTTGTTCTGTCAAGGCGCCCAAGGGACCGTATATTGCACCAGTCGGCTGGTATCGCATGTTCGTCCTTGCGGGCGACATTCCCTCGCACGCCAAATGGATTCGACTTGGCGGTGACCCTGCCGGGCTGGGAAACTGGCCCGATGTTCCGGCTTTCAGGCCATTGCCCGGTGTAGGACCCGTTCGTGCAGCGAGTGCTGCTACCACCAGGTCAGAGCCCATTGTTGCTCGTAGCTTCCGTGGTTGAAGCAACTGATGGATGACATCCGTCTTCTAATGACCTTTCTCTCATCATACTCCTTTATGTGTGTCGTCCCTACTAGGGGACTGCAGTTCCTTGACTGCACGTAGTCATAATTGTAATTTCATGTAACGACCTAATCATCAAATGTGCCAGTTTGCTTTGTATGTGTCCCAAGTGAAGAGTGAAATCATCTTGTTTGAAGTGACGACCATCGGTGGTTGTTTGACTAAGAGCAGTTGATGTTGGTTGTAGAGGCAACGAATTGTGGCGACCCACGTATTTTGTTGAATAGGGCACAACTCTCTTTGGTTGTGCGACAGGGAAAAGGAAGGTATGCCAGCTCGTACTGGCCAATGAGGCATTGATACCGAGGTAACGGGTAAATATGACAGAGAAGCGATGGAAAGAGCAATCGCCACTGAAGCAGCGAATCTCTGTATGAGGTTTTGGAGACGGTGGAAGAAGTAAAGCAAATGGTAAGCGTCACTGTGGGCTGAGGATAGTCGTAAAGGTTTGCAGTCTTGGCGCAGGGTCACGGTCGTCTACCTTCTTCCAACTACAGCTCTCAAGACAGCTTCTTACATAGCTATTTATACTCTGACCGATCAACAGCTCACGCGTGGCCGTCTCACGTAAATTTTCTGCCTCAGCTATTACTTACAGCAGCCACCGAGGAACAGCGGGGTCATCGGCAAATCACAGCCGCAGGTAGTTGTGGCCTTACGTACGCCCATCATCCTGTCTCCCAAACATGATTCAGACCTCAAGCATATGTGTCTCATCCTGCAGGAACTTCCAATGCAGAAACTACGAAGTCAAGAGCTCTCTGGAAGTAACCATTATAACAAAACTAACGTTTAACACTACGCCCCGCCATGGACGGGTCTACTGCAAAGGCAAACCACATCCAACTCGACTTGCGTTATCATCTCAATACGCCAATCTTTTCCACCAACCCCGAAGGCGTCTGCAAGTGATCAAGCCGACTATTCCTAATAGATGCAGAGATGTGGGAAACTCCGTCGAGCTATACGAACAACCGGTGTGATTGGACGGGGCGCCTAAAATATGCCACCTAAAGAACACAGTGCCCATCCTTCACCTTCCCGTCGTCGGAGAACTGGCCCGTTGGGAGGCATTCGAAATCATGCCACCAGAAAGATTAAAACCAGCATTCGGCCGGTGTGTCTTGCTCCTTCACCACCGATAACCATGATATCGCCATCAAATGACACGCAGGAAGCGACTCCACATGCCCAAAGCGGCCCTACAGCTGAAGAAGCTAGCAGCTCCGAACCATCGCTCGAAATCGACGTGGGTCCCGTCCAGCGTATCAATCCTGAGATGCCTTGTCTGACAAATAGGTGCCATGGCAGAGCGAGCAAAGCGACGAACGCGACTCTGCTTTTGGTGACTCGCAATCATCTTACACAATGTCTGCCACGTCGTCTGTATTCAACTTTCGCTACGAGAATGGCAGGCGGTACCATGCTTACGCAGAGGGCATGTACCCAGTACCAAATGACGAGGTCAGCCCCGCGTTGCTGTCACCCAGATAGACTAGTTGCTTACTGCAGTTCTGCTAGACCGAGGCAGATAGACTCGATCTCCAACACCACGCCTTTCGCCTTACACTCGACGGAAAACTATATCGAGCACCAATTCCACAAGATGTTCAAAGCGTTCTGGATGTAGGATGTGGGACTGGCATATGGGCTATTGAATTCGCAGACGAGCACCCATCTGCGCGTGTCCTGGGCACAGATCTCAGTCCCATCCAACCCGAACAGGTCCCACCAAATTGTGAATTCCTAATTGACGATTGCGAAAAAGAATGGATCTTCCACGAGAAATTTGACTACATCCACTCGCGCGCCTTGGTAGCAGCGATCAAGAACTGGCCTCGTTTTTTCGAACAAGCCTATGCTAATCTCAAACCTGGGGGCTACCTAGAGTGTCAAGACATTGCCTTTCCGATTAGCTGCATGGATCCCAATGTCACTGCTGAGAACTCGCCACTAATCCGCTGGTCTGAGTATTTCCTCGAGGCTGCACAGAAGATTGGTCTTGATGGTACGGGCCCTCGTCATTTCACACCCCAACTACGTGACGCAGGGTTCACGGACATCAACGTTAAGATGTACAAATGGCCAGTGGGCAAATGGGCAAAAGGCGCGAGATTCAAGTTGTTGGGCCGCTTCGTATATGAAGATCTAATGGACTGGCTGCCCAGCAGTTCACTCGGTCTCTTCACACGCGTACTCAAGTGGTCCAGAGAAGAAGTCGAAGTCTTCCTAGCCGACTGCAGACAGGAAGCAAAAAGAAAAGACCGACACTACTACGCTGATGTGTAAGTCGTCGTTAGTCCTCATCCTGCACCGTGCTGACCCTTCCAGCTTCTTCTGGCACGCCCGCAAACCCACCACAGACCAACCCACCCACACCACCGACGTAGTCCACGAAGAAGAACCCATCCACCGCGACGACCCAGACCCCCCCGTCGATCCCAAAGAACCCGAGAATCCTACCTCGCAAGTTTCCCAACCATCTACCTAAACTATCTATCTACCCAAGAAACCGCTCAACATACACATCCCCTTCCCCCCTCTCCACCCACCCTTCCTCCGCTTTCCACGTCATCTTCGCCATCCACCCCGTCGGCCTCCCCCCGTACTCCCCGAATTCCGCTTCGTTGGGGAAAAGCCGCTTCCATGCTGCGCGGGGGCCTTCGTAGTCGTCCGGCAGGTATGGGCAGGGGAGAGGGATGGGATGCCAGGGGATAGGGGGTTCGTTTGTTACGTGAAGATGCGGGAAGTAAGGTGTGCGAGCGGGTTTTTGCTTCGGAGGGCCGGTGGGCATGGTTGAAAGGGGAGCGAGGTTGCGAGTTGATTGTCTTGTCAACATTTTAGGCGGAGAATCTGCGTTTGTTTTTGCTAGAGATTTCGGTTTCGTTTTTAGAGCGGGAAGCTTGCTGGTTGTCGTTTGAACTTGCTTGGAGGGTTTGGGTTGACCTGACGGACCGGGTCGCTGCTGTTGCTGTTGCTGTTGTTGCGAAAAAGTACAAGAAGACGATGAAGTTCCATCTCCATCTCCATCTCCCCTCTCCACCCCACATCGTACAAGTTTCAACTTGACGGTGAGTTTTCGCAGCGGAACCTCTTTCCCCTTTTCCTTTTCCTTCTCCTCCTTCTCCCCCTCCTCCGTTTCCTCCCCCTCATCTCCACAATCTCTCTTCCTCTTCCCAACCATCCCACCCTTTTCTCCTCTTTCTTCTTCTCCTCCTCCTCCTCCCAAATCTTCCACACCCCGATCCAAATACCTCGCCATCCTCGCCATGAACCGCGCATTCATCTCCGCAACCGAGGGAATCCCGCTTGCGCTTTGCTTTTGCTTTTGCTTCTCCTCGCTCTTTCGCTCCATCTTTGAATACGCCTTTGTCGACTCACTCGGCCTTCCAAAAGGGTAGGCTGAAAGCGGTAGATTGCCGAGATATGATGGTTTTGGAAAACCTGATAGCACTGTTTTTTTCCATGTGAATCTTCGGCATGTTTTTATAAATAAAGGGGGGGGGAGTCGGTGAGTCGGGGGGGGGGGGCGGGGGTTGCAATAATTGATGGCGAACCGTGGTTGAGGGGGTGTTAGAATGGGGCATGTTTGTATTGGAGAGGGTAGGATTTCTTGTCGAGGATGAGATATCGGGGGACGAATGGGAAGTTCGATGAATCAAGTGGTGTTTTTTTTTGCGTGATGATGGCCGTGTTGGAAGTAACGAACACGCTGTAGTTGGGTTAGTGTTTTCTTGATATTAGCAGAGTGACTACGCAGTATAGAATTTGTGTGACTAGTATAATTACAAATGCAATTTTTATACTACGAAAGTCATATCCACCTTCTCTACCACTTCCTCCAGCGAATATTAAACATTACTACTCCCCCCCTTCCTCCAAAACCTTCACTCACCATACCGATCCTCCATCCCCTCTCCACTCTCCCCCAACCTCAACCTCAACATTCTTTCATGCTCCTCCACCTCCTGCATCTTAAACTTTGAAATAAGATCCATAGTACTCCGTCGCACGCTCGCCATACTCTTCTTCTCGCTCGAAGCGTCATCGCCCCCCCTCAAGTTGCAACTCGCATGGCTCACTGGACTGGGGTTGCGCGAGTGCCTTCCAGCATGACTCCGCATTATGGAGGAGTGGAGAGACATGTGTTTGCTGTCGAAAGACAGACGAGCGGGCGCACTGAAATCTGCTGTTGTGGTGTTTGCTCCGGTGCTGGGGCGGGGGTAGTCGTCGAGGCAGGTTTTGTAGTAGACAGACCAGCCGCGGGCGAGGTCTTGGAAGTTATCATAGTTGGCGTCGCCGCCTCGGAGGGAGAGGGAGCCAAGGTTGGGTGCAGATGAGTTGCGGCGGGGACGGAGCGTTGGCATGGTAGTGTCAACAACGAGTTTGTCCTTGTCCTTGACGGTGTTCATTGGCGTCTGATTTGGGGTGACGAACTCCTCACGATCGTCCCGTACGTCACTGTTGTTTTCCTCATTGAGACTGCCTGCCCACACCTCAGGTAACAGCTCAAGTTCAGGATGTTCGAGAATCCCACCAGATGCGATCGAGCTGCGGTGACCGCGACCATGCCTTCTGAACTCTGTGCTCTGACTCTTGAACATCTTACTATAATTCTTCATGAGTGCCCTCCCAAACGTCATCGAGGTACTTCTCACCATACGCACACTGCCGAGTTTCTTCTTCTTTTTCTTTTCGCCAGGCAGGAGCGGAGTCGAGGGTCTTCGCTGTGTTGGATCGACCAGGTCCTCGTCACCATTTGAAACTGTAGACTTTATTGCTGCCTCGAGTGCAAAGTCGCGGGGCTGGACATCATCTACTTTGCCAGCGGATCCGGTCCGGTCCTCACGTGTGTGAGAAGGATAGCGACCCCATGCACCAACGACTTCCACACCATCGCCTTGTCGTTCGTAGGCATCCGCTACTTCTCTTCCTACTTCAGAATCGTCCTCACTTGCCAGAGCGCGACGTCGAAAGATTGAAGTTGATGGTCGGTCCCCATCATCACCACCGGGTGTAGGTGTATGCAATGTAGACAGACGTCTGCTTGAGTCCTCACGTCTCATGGAAGGTTCTGCGTCATCAATGCTGACTCGTCGGGTCGAAACACTTCCACTACGTTCCCTGAAAGGACTCGACTGTACAGCGAGATCCTTGTTCTTTGGGAGAAACAGAGATGCTTTCTCTTCTTGATGAGCTTGCAATGCACGATCCCAAACTTGATTCGCGCCCTTGTTTTTGCCGAGGGCTTGCTGTTCCGCACGCAAACTCACCAAGGATTGCGATTGTCGGCGTTCTCGATCCGCAGGCACGTCTAGTGTATCAAAAGGACCGTCCACGTCGGCAATTCGTTGTTCAGGGGAATTACTCGCCTCACTTTGGCTCCGCAAGCTAAGTCTCTTGGGTTTCAAGAATCTGATTATCGATGATGAATGCGTGAGCTTCATTTTGGCAGCAGGGGGACTGAACTCTTCTCGGAATTTGGAAACCTTGGTATCCGCAACGCTATTGTTACGTGCCAGAGGTGCTCTTGGTGGGGTACATGGAGTTTCTGCTCTATAGCTCTGTGAGACCTTCAGATTCGTGAGACCAGCTCGCTGTTTTGGCTTGGGCGTCTCCTCGTTATCCGTTGGGAAAGATGCTGAACGTCTAGCCCTGCGCAGATCTGAGGTAGAGATATTAAAGAGTTGATTTTCAGTACCAGTCTGGGATAGGTTGACCATAGATCCACCAAAGCTACCAGGTGGGCTCTGTGGTCTACTTGAATATATAGAAGACGCAAAATCAGGCCGAATGTTTGCCTCGCTAGACACGACATTTCCCCAGCCAGCCGGGATCTTATAGCTTGCTATGCCAGAACTCGATGTCTGTCGACGATGGCGAGGTAGCTGTTGGTTTTGTTCTGAAAAGTAGTTTGAATCGGCAGAGGCATTTTCATGCAACTCGCAAGGTGATGCAGGTACCTCCGGAGCGCTTGCGAGCCTGTCCCACGAGAGCAATGAACCTGAGCGTAGATGGTGCGAAATACGCATGCTTTGCAGATGAACCGAGTGGTGTGAATCATCATCTGCTTCTTCACACTGAGACCTCTCAAAACGAACAACGGTAGCAGAAGAAGATATCTCACGCAGAGTGCCTTGCATTGACATGGATGGTCTCGGGGTGCCTGTTGAAGTTGGTTGTTGAACACGAATCTCCACAACCCGGGCCACGGAAGATGTGGCAATATCATATGTGCAGTTAGGAGCTACTGAGGAATCACTGTTCCGGCGTCGATGATGCACCTGGTTGTGCCTTGCGTTTCGACATATATGCAGGTCTGTGTCGAACATTATAGGACTGCCGTCACGCGGGGGAACGGGAAAGCATGATAACCGAAGACTCTCAGTCATGACTTCCGACCAAGGTTCGCCGGTCGTATCGTTGTTTGAAAGACCTGGTAACCTTAATGGAGAGATCGGCGGGGGCTTTGGCAAGCCTATCGACTCTGCCGAGTACGAGCGCTTCAGCGTGCGTTTGCTCTCATCGAATGTACCTGACGCTAGGTTGGGCGTATTGGACAATAGATTGAATTTATTGGATAGCGAGACTGCTTGCGTGTTCGCGATATCATATGGGCGAAGGTCGTGTTCAGGCGGACCACTGGCGCAGCCCTTTGTGTATGACTCTGGTGTAGTTTTCCTGAGAAATGTGAGTATCGACCAACAAACTAATAATCGTTTTTCAGGTTACCTTCCAGGTGAGGCAACCCAGTCGACGCTGTGAATACTAGGTCTTTTGTTAGGTGATCTTTTGCCAGCACTTCTAGCAACATCGTCCAACACTTGGGCATCCGAGTCGTAGCCTCCTTCGTGAGCTTTTTTGTTGCTAAGAAGATTATTGCGCAAGTCCTGTTTGGTAATATGGAGTTGTTGCTTTGGCCCGCTTTTCTGAAGCTTGATTACGGTATCGGGTGTGGACTTCGGAGTGATTTCGTTCTCATCAGAGTAATGTATTGGAGTAGAGGGAGTCTTTTTACTAAAGTCTTTGGAGAATTTCTTCTTGATCATAGAACGCATGCTTTTCACCTTGTGAAGTGAGCGTATACTGTGGACTGAAGGGCGACTGAAACGCGCAGGACCTGCCTGCAACGGTGTATCACGATCTTCCTCGCAGTGGTCGGCATGCTGAAAGATTTCTCGGATCTCTTGGAGATCTCCAGAACGGGCGCTCGTAAACTGTGAGTTTGGTGAGCTGGTTTGTTCGGGTAGCAGACGCTGTTTTGCTGGTGCAAGTTGGCTAAGGCGGACGTTGGGCAGCTCGGGTGAGTTGGATCGTTCGCCCTCTTCTGTTATGCAGCACAGCCTGGAAGCCATGGCGTGGATGTGAGAGGATGAGAAGATGGATTAGGCAAAGAGGTCTGCTGTTTGTTGATAGGCAAGGCCCTCTTCCACGTGGAGTGCCTGCCCATGTTTTGGACGAGGAAAGCCAGAGGGCAACGACACAATAAAAGCAGCAGCAATTGCGATGATCAAACAACTGACGGATCTCGGTAATCAAAGGAAGAGGCACTCTTACAAATGGGCAATATGTATTGCGTGCTGAAAGGTATTGGAGATGTCGCGGGATCCAATATTTAGCTCATCATCTTCTTACCACTTGCATCCTCACTGTATAGCTCCTGATCTTTGATCCAAGCGGCCACACTCTCAGTGCACAGTTCTGACACAATATCCCATTTGCCTTGCTTGGCAGCATTCCTCACTCGCGTTGAGCTGATCCCAACACCTTCCTCAGCCTCGACCATTTCTATGTTGTTGCTCCATGCAGGCCGGAAGCCGGCTGCTTCTTGCTTTCCATCTTTCAGGTCTTGCAGGTACTTGGCTTGCTCCTGAGTTGAGCCGAACTCACGCGACGACTCGTCGTTCGCATCAGTTGGTCGTTGGGTCACGCGCAGCTTGTGGCCAGCAGCGAAGAAGGGCTCAAGAGCCGAGAGTGGCGGATCGTGCTTGGGATAGTACTTTGGGTTACAGAAACGGATCAGGGTATCATAGCCGACAAGATGTATGTGCCTCGGATTCGAAGCATAGAAGGGTGGTGTGGCCTGGGCGATGGCTGCCGACTTGTCACTGTAGTAGGGCTCTTTGGTAAGACCAATATCTATCGATAGATTGGCAATATCAACATTCGAAGAGTACGTTCCCTTTTTGAGGCTCTGCGACAAGTCTTCAGCAAAAGCCGTCATCAAGGCGATGCGCTGCACAAAGCTTGCAGGGCTGGGCGCCTTGTCTGCATTGTGTGTGCTGAAAAGCAGTAGCAGTCTATAAGGGCTCTGTTCTAATGGTGCCGAGTTCTTCAGAGCCGATGATGCGAGAGTAAAATGTGCAAGGGACGGCGGGTTGAAGGAAGAGTCGAGGATGTAGAGGGTTTGTGGCTGTGTCGGCGTGTCGTTTACTGTGCGCACAACACGAAACTTGGCGGGCGACGAAGTAAACGAATGCAGCGCAGACTCGAGATCAGGCAGCAGAGACCTGAGTGAAGCTATGCGCGAAGCCATATCAGCCATGACTGCTTGTTGTGAAGCTCAATGCGTGGTGGGGTAAGTAATGGCCTTCTTACTCTGTACGTCATACGCGTACGGTACTACTACCCTTGCTGAGTAAATGGCGGGGATATGACCGGGCCGAGTGCATTGAAAATAGCCAACATACATAGAGAGAGAGAGAGATGTATACGCACATATTATAATAACATTCATGGAATCTATTTCCGCACACATACACACATAGCATGCAGGACATTCCTCTATATGAATACCCTACTAGACAAGGAAACGATGCTCTAAAAAGCTTCCTTTGCTCACGATGACCTCGTACATCAATCCATCAATCCGTTGACAAGTCGATCAATCCAATCGCCTAATCATCACCATCAGTCATCATTCACAGCCTTCTCGTAAGGTACGACATCCGGGATACCCCTCAAACAAAAGACCGAGGTGGTGAAGATCCCGTTGTAAATACGCCAATGTCCCCCCAACCAAAAACACCTTGCGCTGAACCCTAACATCTTGTCTTGTTACCGAAAAAAAAAACACAAAGTGCGTTAAAAAACGTAGAAACTTGCACAAAAATATCAGCTAAAACACATCAGGTAGAAGGGAAGAGGAAGAAGATGAAGAGCAAGCGAAAAGCAAGCAATTAGTTCTCTCCATTGCTGAGCGGGCTGAGACCACTAGCCTTGGCCGCATTTCTCAGGCTCTGTTGCCTTGCCAAAGATGTTTGGCTGGCCTTTTGCCTTATCTTCATCGACTTGATCGAATTGGACGGAGATGGTCTGGGCGATGGCCTGGGTGATATCCTAGGACTGTTGTTGTTGGTGCTGCTGCTCATCTGCTCAAACCGTCCAGCGATATCCTTGACACGACTGGGTGAGCCTCCGCTCTTTGATGACTCAGTCGCCTGACTGTCGCTATCTTGAGGGACTGACAAGATGCTGCTACCATCTATATCGGCGTTGACAACACGTAGTTTAGATTTGGGCACCGTGAACATGACTTGAACCACTCGTCGCTCGACAGCTGCTTCAACGTCCCAATCAGCCTCGCTAGCGGGAGTACACGGCCGGTCTTCGCCAACAGGGATACCGAGGTGGTCTGAGAGAATGGGCGTGCGCGGTGTAGGCATTCGTTCATCATTGTCGAGGTTCACCAGCAAGTTGCCCCTTTCTCTCCATTCCTGGCGTTGGCGTTCACGCTCAGCCATGGCAATGTCTTCAGGTGCACCCCAGTCATCCCCAGCGGTGCGGCGCCAGGCTGGATCTTGTTCGTCGTCCAGCCAGTCCTTTTTCCCTCTCCTATTGCGCCAAAAGCTTGCATCTGAAGCTGCACGCTGGGGCGGTGCAGTGGCGGCTGGGAATGATTTCCGCATGTCCGCCTGACGTGGCTCAGTAGGAGAAGTTGGGTCATCTCTATAGGGTTCTTGGTATGTCGCAGGAGAAATCATGGACCTTGTGCGCTCAGCGCCCGAGACTGATCTTGTCAATACCTTGCGGACACTGCCCAACCAGCTTGTCCTTCGCACTCTGGACGTGGACCGGGGTACACCCGACATGTCTAAGACAAAAGATGTAGCTGGAGTAGCAGTGCCCGCTCGGCTGTTGCTGTGGTCTGTATCGTGGCACGCGTCTGATTTAGAAGAGCCAGTATCTGGCCTCGACCGCTCTGGGTTACCACCAAGCAGTGCTTCACCCTCAGCTTGCAGATGCGCAAACGAAGACTGAACGGCCCGGAAAGATTCCGAGTCTGGCCGGCCATGACTTTGTTCACTATTGAAAGAGTGTGTCCGAGGTTCATCAGGAGAGTGTCGGCCAACCTCCCCTCTCCTCCTGGCCTTGTCGCTGGTAGGGCTTGGATTTGTTGATCTGGAGGAGCCGGCAGTATTGTTCGGCGTGTTTCCACAGCGCATCAATACATTCTCAAGAGCGCCCTCGTTTGCAGAGGTCCAAGACATGATACTCCGCTCACTGAGGTTTGAGCTTGTGCGCTCGGAGTTTGATTTGTCCGGGGAAATTCTACCAGCCGAGTTTAATTGAATCCGTCCAAGAGAATTACTTTTGCTGTGACTAGGCGATTCCTGGGCATTCGATGCGGACGCAGCATACCGCATATCTCTCTGCGAATTGCCATGCTTTTGGCCAGGCACGGACGAATTCAAGACGGGGGCGTTGTCAAGCACTGCAACTCCAAATTTTGGTCGCAATTCAGCCATTTCGGGGGGCCTTGATAGTGGTGAGTTATCTTGAGCTTGCTCTTCGTCCGTTTCCTCCTCGAGTTCATCAATTGGGTGGATACCACTTGGACCGCGAGGCTTGTTGACACCGTACGCAGGTCTCCCGCCCATACTACGTCGCAACCCACGCGTCGGACTCGGAATCTCAACAAGCAAGCCAGTTCTTTCAACTTCTCCTCCGCTTGCTGCCTTCCAGCCCTGGCCGCCCTGGGCTCCTTGGGGAAAGTAATAAGAGCTGTTCTGATCAACGACGTAGTCAGATGCGTCAAGTCGAGCCCCACGCTCATCGCACCCTGGCGCATAATCCTCCATGTTGTACCTGTGTGTAGTATACGATAGGTCCTGAAGTTGTTTTTCCCGGATCTGTCGGCGGTTCTTTGACCGTCTCCTGTAGCACATGTACAGGATGACACCTCCGCATATGGCAACGAGACCGATGGCTATACCGACACCCAAGCCTGCCTTTTGTCCAGTTGTTGATAAGAATCCATCATCTGCAGACGAAGATGCAGGTGTCTTGGCGGGAGGTGTGTAATCGGCGATCCAAGTATTCGAGGTTGTATTTAGGAAGAACGTCTGGGCGTTGACACTCGATGAATCGCTTCGTCGCTGGGCACCAGATGAGGGAATGGTATATCCCCCAGTGACCATCAACACACCTCCAGGCAGCATGGCAGCCCCATGACCATACAGACCAGAGCCGTTCGGCAATCCGGCACCGCTTGTAGAGGGTACAGTCCATTGCCAATCTCCGTCACCACCGTAGCCATTAGCAAGGCTAAGAACTACCAACTGAGGCTCGGCTGGTGTATTAATGTCTCCAACCCAGCCACCAATGACAATTATGCTTTGGCCATCCGCACTGAGTACGGCAGTGTGACCAGATCGAGGTTCGACTGCAGACGAACCATCAGGCTGTTCAACCGGTATGAATGTCCAGCCTTGCTCTGGGAGGGAAAAGAGAGCAATCTGCGACATGTTGAGGAAAGCAGCACTAGTATGTCCTCCAATGAGCAGAAAGTTCTGCTGCTGGATCTGCGTTCCATCTTTACGATCCGAGAATGTCGGGGACAGGCCGGTAATGGTGAAGCCGGCTTCTGGCACCGGGGGTCCGCGACTCGAGGAGATGTCCAGCTGGTAGTTGAGAGACTGGGTGCTTGGGACCGAGGGCTCGAGCGTGACGACCGAGTTGGAGTAGCTGGCTGCAGATTGCCATGACCCTGTTGAGTCGCTTGCATTGGGACACATGCCACCGAAAAAGTATGCCCCAGTAGTTTGGGCGTCCCCCGGTACGACGGATGAAAAAGCCATTCCAGCGCTGAGAAAGTTTGCGCCCATGCTGTCAGCATGCGAGTTATCCGTAACCGACACATTCTCTCGTTTCCAAGTACCCTTTTCACTAGAGTCTGCAGCATTTGGGGTATAGGTCCATAGCTGAGCTCCGCTGGCACCTAGAGTGCAGTCGCCGGTGTATACAGTCAGGTTTCCCCCAGCGTCGAGGAGCGGTGTAAAAGGGCGCAAGGTGGTGTCATCGAGGAAGGGTAGGGTTGAGTAGAGGTCATTGTAGGGAAGGTTGGAAGCCGTGAGCGTGGCGGACAGGTCAATGCTGCTGAGCTGGAACTGAGTCGATGACTGGGACGAGGGACGGAAGACGTAGAGGCTATCGTTTGTCTGGAGGACGCGAGTCGGGTTGTAGGGCATGTGGGCGGCGGCGGCAGCAGCGGCGGCGGTAGGGACGAGAAGCAGGGCCTCGTAGAACAGCACGAGCACGCAGCGTACCCGTGTCTTGCGGACCATGGTACATTCACCTCGAGAGGCGAGACGAACGTCCCATGAAGCAGACTGTGGCTACTGGTACGAGAGTAGGGCACGGTGGATAGCGACAATGGCGGCTGGGAATCGAGGGTGGGTTCAGAGGAGCAGCAGTTCATGCACGGGACCATCGAGGTGGCTGGCTTCCGTGAGGGTCTATCAACATAGGCCCAGCCCTCTCTTAGCCCGCTGTGGGCTGACTGTGGATCAAGCAGCCAAAGCGCGTCATCTTCCATGACAGCGGCCGTTTATCTGCCCAATCATCAATGTCCGGCATCCTGAGGGCGACGGTGGCTGGGCGGCTTGCGTTGGTTTGGTAAACAGGGTCGGGGCTGGTTGCGCAGGGCAACCGTCGTGCTGGCTTACGTGCATGCATGTGAAGACGGGAACAAGCCGCTCGGGAGAACATGACTGGTGACAGCAACAAGTTGCCCAGACCCAGACCGACCACAGAAACTGCACGGGGGGTGTTATGGGCTATGGGTGTCTGGACTCGTGATGGATGGATGCATGGTCGAGGTACGCGGCAGCCATTGAGGAGGCTGGCCGAACCCCGGTCACGGCTTGCGCCCACCTCTCTCATAGTGATAGTAAATCATTGCGAAAAACAAACCCTAAGCCCTCGCTCTTGACTACCTATAGCTCTGCGTGGAGCGAAACATAAATAGCATTTGTTTTTGTTTTTTGTTTTCTTATTGAAGCCTCTCGTACAAGTGCAAAAAAAGCAATTGTGTTCCATCCTGCGAATTACGTAGATGATTTCTCTACTTACCACTAGTACTAGTACTGTACAGGAAAGTCCTTTATCCTATACCACAACATCGGACAACAGTTTCGCCCAGGGATTTAATCATAATCCTGTACACCAGTAGCTTACTGTGAAGTGTTTCGCAGATAGACAAAAACAAACATGCCAACTAGAGTGAATTAAGACGAATCCATGAGGAATCACCTCAGGTTCGGATGAGACTACCTACTCCATGCACGTGACTGTAACCATGGCTGTACTATCCCGAGGGTCAGCCTCTTGTTCAAAGTATTGTGACACTACCTCAATCCCTAAGTCGCTTATCCCTTCATTTTCATCCCGTACTAAGACAAATCACCATCCCATCCCGCTCAATCAAACCCCAGCGCCTCCAACTCCAGCTCCTCCTTCCTCCGTCTACACCTCACCCTATTCCCCGCATCCAGCGCCATCGTATCCGCAAACAGATGCACAGGCTCCAGCGACGCTCCCTCCGCCAACTCCCACTCATACTTCAGCAAGAGATGCACAAGCGCAATCTTCATCTCGTTTGCGGAGAAGAAGCGCCCGGGACACGCGTGCAGGCCATGCCCGAAAGATATGTTTTCAGGCCCCGTGGAGACGAGATGCCCCTTCATGGCTAGAGTGGGATCTTGTCGCATGCGGTAGTAGCGGTAAGGGTCGAAGGCGTGGGGAGACGGGTGGAGCGAGGGGGAGAAGAGGTTGGCGATGTCGACGGCGATGTATTGGCCGCGTTGGATGAGCGTGCCGTCGGGGAAAATGACTTTTTCTTTTGCTAGTCGCCTCATGCCGACTATACCAAAGTTGTTAGCTGTTATCACGCTGAATCTCAATTGGTTGATAGGAGATGCCTTACAGATTGTGTTGGGATTGATCCTTTGCGTCTCTTTCATCGTGCTATCCATTAGCTTCAAATTAGCCAGCGCGAGTTTTGTCAGGCCATCTGCACTAATCACTCGGACGATTTCCTTGCGCAGGTCCTCTGCTAGAGAGGCGTCGTTGGCTATACGCGTTATAGTCTGGCCTAGCAAGTCCGATGTGGTGTGGATTGCTGCAAACGAAAGAGACATCTGGAACACAGCGAAATCGGCAGTCCCTTTGCTTTCTTCGTCGATCCACTCGAGCGCGTCATTATACCTCGGAGCAGGCTCACCCTTTTCCGCAGCTTCAGCCTTTAATCGATTCCGCTCTGCGACAATTGGCTTCAGCAGTGCACGCGCTTGGTTAAGTTTCTGATCCACAATCTTGACTTCCTTGGAAAACAAGCCGTATACAGGCTTGAGTATCGAGGGAATGTAGTTCATCTTTTTGGCGGCTTGGAAACTACACACTGTGTATTCCTTGGAGAGTCGTAGCCATTCTTCGTTGCGACACAGCTCGTCTCCAAGAAAGACTTTGCTTGACAAGCAAGTGACCAGGGACAGGATACTGTCTGAAACAGTAACCTCTCTCCATTCTAATCAAGTTAGCTTTTCATGTCTAGACTCTAGAGACGACATCATACCCGAGTCACGACCATATATCGTATCAATAGCAAAGGTAGCTTCTTTGGAAAGTGGTTCTGTTACGGAGTCTTTTATATCCACATTAGTACTGTATCGCAGGCTCTATACACTCAGTGGGTTACTTACTCAAGGACTTGGTGAGTTGCTTTTTTACTACTGTCTGCAGTATTTTCTTTTCGTTTGAAAGGACACAAAGCGGATCAAAGGCCGATAACTGATGCGGTAGCTCCTAAATTTATCATTCAGCTCACAAGTATAAATAACATGAGATTTGAATACTGACGTAATTTAGCGCTGCTCCAAAGTTCAAGCGCGGTTCGTTGCGAATAGTGTTCGCATATGAAGGTGGAAGAACAATAATCTCGCCAATGTGATTGATTAGCCTATACGGCTGCTTGCCGTAGGACTTTCTAGCCCTGTCAAGTACCCTAGGACCACTTTCCATAAACTCTCTCCTTTTGATAAGCGTGGGCTGATACCATGCTGGAGGATTCGCTAAAGGCAGTTTGGACCTGTTGGTGAGGATGAAAAACGAGATGATAAGAGTAACAACAGCAACTGATATAGCGATAACTGCCGGTAAGGCTTTCTCGGTTGTATTGAGTGACAGATTCGATAGAAGATTGGGATTGTGCGAGAACCGAGGAGCTGACATGTTGACAAGTTGTAAAATCTGTTCCAAGTCTGTTGCGATCAATTTGTGTAGAGTTGCGAGAGATGTTGAGTAATGACAAAATGTCCAGTAGTTCGTTTTATGTATCAAACCTCAACCCCTTCCGCTGCTTTTGGTCCGTCTCCCTTTTACTGTAAGTCACAGGTAGCGTAATCTCTATTCACCTGGAACATATCGATGATACTGCCCAGCAATGATGTTTGCTAGCCTCGACCAATAACACGTTCAACATAGATTGATATGAATGGAACCTCTAGTCATCGGAGGTTTCGCGCCCCGAGCTCTATAAGCAACCAACAATGAGGTATTGCAATTTATGGGGCCCTAGCAAGGATTATGCACAAGGAAATTCTGGCGATAAGTGGATTTTTTCCAGACAGCACGTCCAGTACGACCTTATGTCTAGCATAAGGTTCTATATTTTATCCAAATATGGCAGTTTAGATCACAGCTTTTTCCTTCTATGTTGCAACTCTTAAGAACGACCAAACGAGAGTAAACACTTAGGAGCAGAGGTAGGCTATAGTGGCCCCCGGCTCTACACCCACATACATGCAACATGCTTGTAGCTTAGACCTGATCCACTACGCCAATATCTACGTCAACATATGAATTCATGGAGTCCGAGAACCCCGGCAGTCATCAACCTGACACGCTTTCCTTGATACTCTGCCATTTCAAAATATTTATTCGTTCTCTCCCTATCGAACAGTAGGCGATCATGAGAAACTCCTCATAATAGGAAATGAATGTAAACGACTCTGTCAGGTGTGTGCCGTAGGTAGTAAAACATTGATGATAGAAAGTTAGTCGATGAGCCACGCACGGGCGGGTATAGTGACGGCGGTTTCGCGGTGTCTTGGGTGCTTTGCCTAGCACACAGGTCTGATTTCCAACTAACTAAAGCGCATACTACCTATTCAAGCTAGCCGCTGATCGCATCAAGATTTTATCGAAGTACCGTCGTTCCCCCCGCGCTTTTCCTAGCCTAACAATCCTTTATACTGTGGTGTAGCATCACGTGATTAGATTGCGGATATATATTGCAGTTTCCTTTGGTACGTAGATAGCTATCTTCTCTAATCAATACTTTGGCAGCGATCAGATACCAGCTTTGTTATCCCTACTCGACTGCCGGTCGCTCTCCTGATCTATTGAGCTCGACCACGGATCGTGCCACATGATACACTGATGTTACAATTAACAGCAAGAAGCCTTCCTGTGGCAATAACGACAAGTAGTTGCATAACCTACTCGCTCATTCAGCCCTCCTGTCTGGTGAAGACACATAGAACAGAAGCCATAGAACTGCTAATTGTAGAACATTCTGCTGGTGTATGATCTTGCTTAGTTACGTTAACCTATTACACTCCTACCTTAAAAACAGAAGGGCATTTCGCCGCCACAATAGTCAAAGTAGTAGAAACAAGTATCGTACTGTAGTACAGATGCTGAAGAACAACGTGCGCTCATATCAAGTTGTGCCAGGAGACACTTATCGTCTTATTCTTCACTGGCTATACTACATACGCACATCTATCTGTCCAGGTCAATCGACTCTGCGACGTGTCGCAATCATTCCCAATAAAATAAACGCCAGAGCTAGTTGTGCCGGACACCCATGTCCGTCCTGTCCACACACAATCTGCTTTTCTTTTGCACCGCTCAACGACCCATGATGCAGGTTGAACTTTTGGGTATCATAAAACTCATTACACACACATTACACGAGAGCAAGTTGATATGCTACTCGACGCGGCCGCGTTGATGAAACACGGCCGCAAAAGGATTGCCAAATGGCAGAAGAAATTTAAGCTGCGTGCTTCTCGCGGTAGAACTTGGCAGCGTTGACCATGTTGATCAGCGCAGCCTTAGTCTCCTTCCACTGACGGGTCTTGAGACCGCAGTCGGGGTTGACCCACAGCTGCTCGGGCTTGAGGTATGTGAGCATCTCAGACAGGCGGTCCTTGATCTCCTGCTCGGAGGGAACACGAGGCGAGTGGATGTCGTACACACCGGGGCCGATGTGGCGGGGGTACGCCTTGTCTTCGAACACCTTGAGGAGCTTGGCGTCGCTCTTGCTGTTCTCAATGGACAGAACATCGGCGTCGAGAGCAGCAATGGCGTGGAAGAAGTCTTGGAACTCGGAGTAGCAGAAGTGCGAGTGGATCTGGGTGGAGTCCTGGACACCAGCGCACGCAAGCTTGAAAGAGTCGACGGCCCATGAGAGGTACTTCTCGCGCTCAGTGCCAGCACGGAGAGGAAGTCCCTCACGGAGGGCGGGCTCGTCGACTTGGATGACGTAGATGCCAGCAGCCTCGAGGTCGAGGACCTCGTCGCGGAGAGCGAGGGCAAGCTGTTGAGCTTGGACAGACTGGTGAACATCGTCACGGGGGAAGGACCATCGCAGGCAAGTAATAGGTCCAGTAAGCATGCCCTTCATAGGCTTCTTGGATACTGAGGCAGCGTACTTGGACTCCTTGACAGTCATGGGAGCAGGGCGAGAGATGTCACCGACGATGATCGGAGGTCGGACACAGCGGGATCCGTAAGACTGGACCCAACCCTTGGTGGTGAAGACGTAACCGTCAAGACGCTCACCAAAGTACTGCACCATGTCGTTACGCTCAGGCTCACCGTGGACGTAGACATCAAGGTCAAGCTCATCCTGGATCTTGACAGTCTCCTCAATCTCCTTCTCAATGAACTTCTCATACTCGGCAGCGGTGATCTCACCCTTGGTGAACTTGTTACGCTGGATACGGATCTCCTTGGTCTGGGGGAAGGAGCCGATGGTGGTGGTGGGGAAGAGAGGGAGCTTGAGGTGGGTCTTCTGCTGGGCATATCGCTCAGGGAAGGCAGACTTGCGCTCGTGCTGCTCGGGGGTGACGCTAGCCTGGCGGTCCTTGACAGCCTTGTTGTTGGTGCGCTCAGATGAGGCGCGAGACTGCATCGACTTGGCGTTGGCCTCGAGGGCCTCACGAACGGAGGCAGGGCCCTCGTTGACAGCCTTGGCAATGACGACAACCTCGGACACCTTCTGGACGGCAAAGGAGAACCAGTCCTTGACCTCCTCGGGCAACTTCTTCTCGCTGTCGAGAGAGTGGGGGGTGTGGAGAAGCGAGCTGGAGGTGGCAACAATGACACGGTCCTTGCCAAGCTTCTGGACAGCCGTCTCGACAAGCTCAATGGCGTTCTTGAAGTTGGTCTTCCAGATGTTGCGGCCGTCAACGACACCAGCAGAGAGAACCTGGTTGGAGCCAAGCTTGCTGATGACGCTCTCGAGCTGCTCAGGGTTCCTGACAAGGTCGACGTGGATGGCAGCAGCTCCCTGGAGGCTGGGGAAGACGTCGAAGTTGTGGACAACATCACCAAAGTAGGTGGCGATGACAGCCTTGGGCAGGTCGGCGCCAACAAGCTTCTCATAGGCAGGCTTGAAAGCATCCTTGACCTTCTGGGGAAGATCGTAGACGAGAACAGGCTCGTCGATCTGGACGTGCTCGGCACCAGCCTCCTTCAGCTTCTTGAGGAGCTCAACGTATACGGGCAGCAGCTTGTCAAGGAGGGAGATGGGGTCGACAGACTGGCCACGGTCGGCCTTGCCGAGGGCGAGGAAGGAGACGGGACCGATGAGGACGGGGCGGGTGACGATGCCAGCCTCCTTGGCCTCGAGGAACTCAACCACAGGCTTGGGGTTCTCGGCAAGCTTGAAGGTCTGGTTGTCCTGGAGGGTAGGCTTGACATAGTGGTAGTTGGAGTCGAACCACTTGACCATTTCCTGCGAGCATGTTAGCAATGGTTTGTTGACTAAGAGACGGTTCACCTACCAGACTGGGAACATCGACGCCATCCTTCTGGTGGCCACGGCCCATGGCGAAGTACTCATCGAGCTTGTGCAGTCCGTGCTTGGAGTAACGCTCTGGGATAGCCTAGGATTGTTAGCAAAAAAGAAAAGAAAAGCAACAGCTAGGTGCGGGGCAAGAAGGACTTACGTTGAAGAGCTGGATGTGGTCGAGAAGGTGGTCGTAGAAAGCAAAGTCGTTGCTAGGGATGATCTCGACGCCAGCGTCCTTCTGGATCTTCCAGTGCTCCAACCTCAGGCGCTTGCCCTCCTTGAGGAGGTCATCGCGGGAGAGCTTGTCAGCCCAGTAAGCCTCGTTGGCCTTCTTGAGCTCACGGTCGGCACCCATGCGGGGGAAACCCAGTACTGATGAGTGTACCATTGTGATGTGCGTGTCCGAGAGGGACGATTGATGTGGGAGGAAAGGGGAGGATGGATTGGAGTGGGAGGATGGAGGGGATGAAGAGGGGAGGGAGGAGGGATGAGGGATGAGGGGAGAAGAAGGAGCAGCAGATGGTGTGCTTTATGGTTTTTGCTGGCGTAGGCTGGCACCGCGGGGTTACCGCTAATGGCGCGCTGATGCCCCTCACCGCCTTCGGGGATGAGTGCATCGCCAAACACTATCTGGGCCTCAACCAACACCGCACCCTGGGCCGGACTCTGCAACAACACCGCTGCTGCAACTCGCGGTCAAGCGCGTCTTTTTGGCCCTTCTGCAGCGAATCATGGCCCCTACAGCACGCTGCTCCATCCGACATCGGTATCATCTGTGCAAAACTCCGAGTGCTAGCGTCGTCGATGCTGTTGCACGCCATACTGGATCAACCCCGTTCGGTGCTACTCGGGCACTTTGATAGTCGCTCGGAGTGGCAGAAAAAAATACTGCGAGCTGCGTTGCTTGTGCGTGCTTGCTTGGTGGTCCTGATAGTAGTTAAGCTCTGCCCGTGTGCTGTAAGGATGGCATATCTCGTGCTGGCATAAATTCGCTGGCATGAATCAGCTCGCACACACCATTCATTGCCTGCTGCCCCTCGCCCCAGCTGCCCCAGCTGCCCTCCTGGGCCTCTAGTAGCTCAGACCCTGGCGATCATCCCCCAACCACACAGCTCGACCTTTTTTTTCTCCGAGACCACACGGAACAACACCGCGCCATGCTCTACATATATCCTACACTGCTCAATGCCCGCCGCTTCTTCTCGTCGTGGTCGGACAGTGGCCGAGCAGAACCTGGACCACGATGCGGCGGAACCACCGAGCACTTGGTCTATTGAGCCGTCTCCACGACCCCGCATCACCTATAAAACCCCGCCATAGATAGTCCGCATCACACCAACGCGACTATCGCGACGCACAACCACGCATTCTACTAGGCCCAGCACTTCTGCAAAAAGCAACATGGCCGAGAGACCAGCACACACGCGAACTGCCTCCACCAACCTTGGCACTTCCGGCCAGCGCATCCTCGAAGGAAGAAACGCCATCGTAACCGGAGCTTCAAGGGGTACGTACTGCTCCTCCTTGAGCTGTTCCATTTCTAAGCTCCCCTAGGAATTGGCGTCGAAGTCGCTCGCAATCTCGCTTCCAAGGGCTGCAACGTCGTCATCAACTACACCTCCGACTCGTCCGCCCAAGTTGCCCAAGACCTTGCTTCCGAGCTACAGGCCGAGTATGGCGTCAAGGCCATCACCGTGCAGGCGAGCATGGGCTCAGAAAACGGCCCAAAGCACCTCGTAGAAGTCACTAAGAACAACTTCCAACACCCCAAGACGGGCAAGTTCCAGCTCGATATCATCATCAACAATGCTGGTGTCGCCGGCAATAACTACGTCGAAAACGTCGACTGCGAAGACTTTGCCAGACAGTTCAACGTCAACGTGCGAGGTCCACTGCTGCTTGTGCAAGCTGCCATCCCCTACCTGCCAAACGACCGATCAGGTCGCATCGTCAACTTGTCGTCTGTCAGTTCCTCGCTAGGATACAAGGGCCAGTCAATCTACGGTGGAACAAAGGCAGCCCTAGAAAGCATGACGCGAACTTGGGCTCGTGAATTGTCCGAGCGATGCACCGTCAATGCCATCAACCCGGGCCCAGTCGCAACCGACATGTACTGGAGTAATGATGAATCTTTCATTGCGCTGAACAAGCCCTTCATCGAAATCACCCCGTTGGCGGCACCACGAAAGGGTATCGACCCAGAACGAATCTATGAAGCTTCCCAAGGCGCTGGAGGAAGACCAGGCTACAGTGAGGAGGTCGCTGGTGTTGTTGGCATGCTCTGCTTGCCTGATGCTGGATGGACAACAGGCAGTGTCATTTGCGCCAACGGTGGCATGAAATTCACCTACTAGATGGAATAGGTCGCTCGCGTCTGCTGTCATCTCTCGACCTTTTCATATCTCGCCTACACACGTACATTAGGAAAACCCGCGCGAATCCGAGCTTGTCTCGAAGACAATTCAAATCAACATTTTCTACCCTTCATCTCACCCGCACCAAAGGTGGGACTTTTCGATGTGATCAACACTTTGCCATTAAAACGTTCTATGTTTTGTACACTAAAAATTAGCAATAAGTTTAGAGTGCGTGTATACCACAAGCACTAGTGCGCCCCTGTTTGCTGCCGCCATCGTTACAAATTTCGCTGTTGACTGCGAAACTCTGGGTTTTCGTGATACCTGCAGGCGAAACAACCATACTGCGCTCGGACGATCCATCACCCTGCCATCCTGCAGCCGCTCTTTCATCACTACCAACACTAATGCCATCATCGTCCATCTGATTGTACGCCCTGTTCACATGTTTCGAGCCTATCGTTTGAAGCTCTGAATTGGCCCCATGTGAGTCGGTTGTGTATCCTCGAGTTTGCTTACGGCTGTTGTATGACGATTCTCCAATCACACGTGGTGCGACATGGCGTAAAAACAGACGCATCGCAGGGAGACAACCAGTTATGATGATAAGGTTGGCTTCTATGAGACTAGTCTCAATTGTTAGCTGGAATTCCAAAACGCAAGGTCTAATTCGGAGTCTACTCACATCCATATTCCGGGCATCATAATGGCCCATGTCTGGTCGATAGTGTTGAGCATCGGGAACAAGAGGGCGAGGCGCACTCCGCTGGTGATACAGGTCCTGTTCCATGTCAGTCTATCATCTCCTTGAGTAAGTGCTAATATCACCTACAGCGATCCGACACCGAAAATGCACAACAAGCCCGCTTTCTGCGCCCTCGGGACCTGTAGCTTAACAACCATGGGTATAGGCAAGACGAGTAGTAAAATGTCTGTCACCATATTCAACACAGCAGTCGCCATGTAGAGCGGTGTGCGGTTAATACAACTCCCCTCTGTGATCGTAACGTCCCAATTTCTCTTAAAAGGTGTACAGGCGAAGAGGAGCGGAAAGAGGAGCGCAATGCTGTATCCAATGACTATGAACATTGCGCCATACACACAGATTCGGAACCAGCGCAGGGGGGATAATCGAAGGTATAACAACAGAAGAGACAGCTTTGCGCTCGCTAGAAAGGGGCAGTAGAGGATGCTAGCAACATTGACCAGCTGCATGAGATTCAGCTTAAGTGAGGCATCTTGTTGGCTTGGAAACACTCACATTCAGACTGAAATTGACGCGATTCCCGCTCAGTTCCCAAATGTGAACACCGAGTGTTCCTCCTCTGTATTGCACTGGATGGCCGTGAGCCCACGCAAACGCCAACATAGTCTTGGAAACATACCGAGTATAATCACCTGGATTGTAACCGAGAAAAACTGTTCACGGGTTGATCAATGTATGATCTACGCGCTTTGGCGATCATAATTCATAGACAGACTTACCCAAGCCACAATCAGAGCCACTGCATGATCTGTTAGCTACTTTCAACCACTATTGCACCGCCTACGGACAGTTTGAAAAGATCACGAAATAACTCACCATCATCTGCAGAAAAGCCTTTTGCAAACCTTGTCTTTGTGTAGATACGAACAGCCATGAATAAGGCCGCGATAATCATTCCAACTGCTCCCACCCATAGATTTGCCGCCTCACCTGTCCTCTGGGGGTTGGAGAGATTGACGACATAGCCAGGCGGAGCTGGAAACAAGGGCTTGTTCATATCCATCGTGTATACGAAAGGAGCCTTGAAGACGTAGGGGAGTTCTCAACCAGCAAGATGTTCATATTTTGTTCCGCGACTACTTACTCTTCGCTCTATAGAACGAAACCCGAGCGGCCCCTTCTGCATTATCATTTCTCCGAGGGCCAGAATATTCCTGGCATATTGCAGGTCGGTTTAAGAGTCTCGGATGATCGCTGTAACTACCAAAACGGTATGAAATTGGCCAATAGCCGCATGGACGAAAAGCGCCGACGGAGGCGGTTTGATTGGTGGATAGCACGGCGTGGTTGAATACCCAAGCAACTGTGCCATGCGCCGACATGGATAGGACGGCTTCATCGATGGCCGTAACCCGGACTTCCAATCACACTGCAAGAACATTATGCACGGAGTCAATATGCCAGACGTGTAGCGCGGACTACTATTGTTCCAGCAGGATGCAACCCATCAAGCTGGTAAATACTGTCTCGGCTCCGGTGAACACGCCATTTCTTGACAAGCATCCCTGTGTTAGTTTATGTGTACGTATCATGCCATCTGGCGCAACGCCCTTAGCTGATAGGTCACTAGCTGCATCGCTAACTGAGCTTCGACGAATGTATGGTGCGACCTTTATGCGTTTTTAGTCCCTGCAACCTGCTATTGGCAACCAGGTAAAAGCACATGCCGTATTGCCACCGACATTAGCTTCTTCTACAGTACAGGGTCCGAAAGCCACCTACGGACTCTAGCCCTCTTTGAACGTTCTCGGGGGGTCCTTTGGAGGTCGGTGAACGGGTATGGCGCATGGCTAATAGAAGTGGGAGGGCGCCACTGGGAAATCCACAGTGGAGAAGTTATGGGAAGGTACATTCGTTGAACTATTAATATAAGATGGCAGCTGCGTTCCAACATGAGCACGGTTTTGTCCACTGTCTTTCTTTGCCCCGACTGTTACGATGGCTCGTCTCACTGTTGCTCTTCTAGCGGCTGCGGCTGTCATTCCTCTGGCACAGGCGGAGTATTGCGTAGGTGGATTCATCAGCTAAAACGTACCAGAAAACGTACCAGACTAACCACAGATCTTCCAGTGCAATGTGCTTGCGGCAACGTCCCTGAAAGATCGCCTGCTATATCCCAACCAAGACGCATATGTGACACGCGAGAAGACGTACTTTGACGTCAAGCAGCAGACCATCACGCCAAACTGCATAGTGCAACCCAAGAGTGCGGATGAGGTTGCAGTCGCAGTCAAAGCACTGACAGCTGCGAGCTCACGCAAGGCTTGCAGCTTTGCTATTCGCAGCGCGGGACATACACCATATGTCGGAGCTTCGAATATCCAGGATGGAGTCACCATCGATCTGAAGTACCTTAACACCGTCAACTATGATAATAAAAGCACTACAGTCAAAGTGGGGCCTGCGGCAACGTGGAACGATGTGTACGGCGTCCTGGAACCAATGGGGCTCATGCTTCCCGGTGGCCGATCATCAACTGTCGGTGTTGGCGGACTCACTCTTGGAGGTGGCATATCCTACTTCTCCCCGGGACATGGCCTGGTCTGCGACAATGCGGTCGAGTTCCAAGTCGTTTTAGCCGACGGCAGCATTGTAACTGCATCCAAAACAACTCGCCCAGATCTATTCACCGTGCTGAAAGGCGGCAACAACAACTTTGGAATCGTCACGAGCATCACATTCGGCACCTTCAAGAACCAAGGCATGTGGGGAGGTCTAGTCGTCTATCCTCAGTCAACCATCCAAGACCACTTCAAAGCGCTCATTAACTTCTCCAACAACATCGACAAGGACAACAAAGGTGCTGCCATTGTTATGCCGGTGTACCAGAGCTCCGTAGGTTTGGACCTGATACTGAACGCATACAATTACGCCGACCCGGTCCCCCGGCCCGCCGCCTACAAGGAGTTCCTTGCGATCCCAGGCAACACGTCGGACACAACAGGCTTCCGCAACATGTCGTCGCTCGCCGCAGAGCTCGCAGGAGCCACCACTCACAGGTAAGTCAGTCCAGTTAGTCTTGTCAATCAGAAACTCTCCCGACCACCCATGTATCGTTTACAAGGATCAATCCCGCTGACAAGCCCTATCAATGCCAATAGCGTATACTTCGGCACACTTACCTTTGCCAACGACCTCCGAGTCATGACTGCAGCGCACGAAATCTACCAGGACGAATTATCCAAATTGAAAGCAAAAGCAACCGGTGATTGGGGCATCTACGTTCTCTACCAACCCTTGCCGCCCGCGTACTGGCGCCAAAGCGCCGCCAAAGGCGGGAACGTGCTTGGTCTTGAACGCTTTGGCGAACAGGCCTTGTGTCGTAAGTCCATTTCCTTTTCCCCTCCACTTCCCGATTCTCTCCTCTTATCTATCACTACTATTCCCTCCCCCCAACCCCAACCCACCCAATCAGAAACGAAAAAAAGGAAATAATATTAATAAAAGGGGGAAACAGTATACCAACCCTACATCTCCTGGCAAGGCTCCAATCAAGACGCCCTCTTCCAAGCCGCAGGCGCAAACCTCATCTCGCGCATCCGCGCCTACGCCCAGAGCATCGGCGCAGATAACCCCTATCTCTACCTCAACTACGCGGACAAGACACAGGACCCGCTAAGCAGTTACGGACCGGACAACGTAAAGAAGATGAAGGATGCAGCAAGAAAGTACGATCCCAAAGGCGTGTTCCAGAAGTTGGTACCCGGTGGATTTAAGATTTCGGCTGTGGCGTAAAGTAGTAGTAGACGGGAAGAGAGCTACTGGGTGCCCCCCCCAAAAAAGTGGGCTGATTTTCTGATAGTAAGCCCAGCCCCCGGAAACCGTTGTTGGGTATGTGGGGGAGGGGAAGGGAAGGGAAGGGATAAGAGAGAGATATATATTAGAGTTTTAAATTCTAATTTTTATTTATTTTTTTCACCCCCAACTTTATCAAGTACATAGTTTCTCGTTTTTGAAATTTTTTAACTTTTTTTTTTACTTGGATGTGAGACGTCTACTAGGTACGGAGTTGATTACCCTTTTTTTATTGCCTTCTTATCGCTATCTTCTCTCATTTTAGCCAGCGAATGTTTTCGAGATTAAATGCAGGCTATGGTTTCACTGTGGTTGAAAATCGGAGACTGGTAAAGTTTGAAGAGGACTGGCGAGAGAGTGAGTTAAAGTACGGGAGTAAGGGAGATTGTATTTATCCGCCTGAAAAAAAAACAGATGGATCAAACCTCAGCCATAGAACCGACCATACACTAAAGTCCAAACGGCACCGCTTAAATGAGCAAGTTACCGTTGTTCTTTTTCTCCCTTCCTTCCTTCCTTCCTTGTTGGGTTTGGTGTTTGATATGTATTACAACGTACTAATATCAAGGGTGGAGCCGAACGCACTTACTCGCAATCGATAATCTTAGTACCTCGAGTCAGAACAAATAACACTATAACATACAATAGGGGAGAAAAGGGCACCTGACGAGATAATCGTTTATAGTACTCGATTGCTAACCACAAAGTAGTTAGTACCTTGTGAGCCAAGCAAATCACAATAACACACAATCGTCGCAAGGATATTTGACAACAAAAGTCATAAAATGGCAAAATCATCATTTGAATTTCCATAACTAGCATAGTAGCAAAACCCCCCCAGCATTAAACTTCCAATCGTGTATAACCCTTGAAATTTCAACTCCATGCATATGCTTCCCTTATTTCGATGCAAAGATATCCATGAAATCTTCATAATAGCCATATTCTTCTATAGAATAGCAATCTTCCTAACACTTGGTGCTTGTACCCTCGGTACCTGCACCTTCAACAATCCATCTTTGAAACTCGCGCTCACGTTCGCGACATCGATGCGAGTGGGGAATCTGAAGGAGCGGGTGAAAGATCCGTGGATGCGCTCTTCTTGTTCGGGTTGAGGTTGTGGCGCAAGAGCTGGTGCCTCGGGTTGTGGCTGCGTGGCTACTGTGGTTTCAGTAGGAGTAGGCTCTTCAACAGCCCTTTCTTTGCCTTTTGGCTCCTTTGGCTCAACGGGGGTTGAGGGTCGAGATGAAGATGAGAATTCGTCGCCGAGGTCTTCAAAGTCGTCTTCAACGGTGGCTTGGTAGGACTTGTGAGATTGGGTGTCGCTATCTGGTGTTGCGACGCCGGCTGTTGTGCTCTCAGCTTCCGAGATAGTGTCGACTTCCTCGGTATGTGATGCCTCAGGAGTCTGCTCGGCAGGTTGCTCGATGGCAGGCGCAGATGTGGGTTCAGCCTTGCCTTCGATCTGAGGTAGTGCTGGCTCGGACTGTGCCTTTTCGAATTGCCAGTGAGTGTTTCCGGCAATCTTCAGGGTGTGCTCGTCGGTAACTTCGATGGAGATGTTTTCTGGGCCAAAGCCCTGGATGTCTCCCTCTACCGACCATCCCTGCTCAATAGGCTTGACGTCAAACTTGGCGCGAAGTGCGCGCTTTCGTTGGAGTTGCCTTTGGCGATGGGCTTCACGTTGTGCCTCTCGATGTGCCTCGAGCTGTGTCTGGCGTTGAGCTTCGCGGTCAATCTCGCTCAATAGGTCATTGACTTGACTGAAGAAGTTGCCGTACGGCGAGTATTGTTGGCGGCGAGGTTGAGGGCGGGCAACTCGGCAGCCATATGGTGACCGTGCTGCTGGGCTGCAGAAGCCGAGAGGGTTGTACTGGTGTGTCTGGTAGGCCGGCGCAAAGGTGGGTGTAAGTACGAACGCCATTTCTGGTATGATTGACTTGGAATAAAAGCTTGTTGGTTCAGATATGGTAGTAAATGGCTGATGGTTGGATGTTATGGTGATTGTAGATGCTAGATCTAGAGATGCTGGTCTTTTGAATTGATGATGGGCTGTAAAGGAGCCGCACTCCACACTTTTATAGTACACATCACAACGCAATACGGGTGTGAGTAAGGCATCAACATTCCCAATCCAACGACTATACTAGAATGTTGTGGATAGTTCGTGAGGTTGCTTATCCATCCATGTTTGTCAGGAAGATGCGTGAACCTTCACGCTGCTTCTCGAAGCTTCTACGTCAGTTTGAGGAGTATGCGGCACGTGCGCGCAGACTACGTAAGGCCGCTAATCTTTTTTGGTCATGTGGCCCGCATAAACAGAACAATGTCCTGTTCAATTTTATTGTCGAAACGAGTCTTGGAATCGAAAGACCGTTTACTCTGGCTATACACAGTCTTGAACCGAGGAGACGTCCTTATCAAACGGTAGTAGAGAAGGGTTTTGGGTTCGTTATCAAAACGCGAGATGAGAGACTTCGGAAAGTGGCAACCCAACTTGAAACAAACTCATTTCGAGTAATTGATCTTTCTCTTTCTAACAATGAATTGCCGATAACATCATGTGTCATCTAAGCAAAGCTACCATGGACCATCCCTCGATACTCAGCCCTGAACACTTTTGCTCCACCTTATAAATGTGCTTGGCGACCTTCGCTTGCGGCCTAATGTATCAACACTATGCTCAACCAGGATATCTCTGGTATATACTCACCGCGTTAACATCAATTGCACTTTCCGTTATTAATCCATGAACCCGCTCCGTTACATCGGTAGCGGATTTTGCCAGAGCACGCTGTCGCTCCTTTATTGCTTGGGCCGCAAAAGCCTGGTTCTTGCCTTTTGACAATGGTGGTGTCCCTAGGCATCTTGGTAGGGGCCGATAGTACGACGGCGCTAAAGCCGACGGCTGCTGTCGCGACTTGAAGAAGATGCATTGGGGACGAAATTGGCGAATCGCGGAGATGTAATGTCAAGTAGAATGGAGGCAACGGGCAGTGGTTGATATCGCCAGAGGTTGCGAGGCATCTGGCTCAGAGGATGTCAACTGACATGACTTTATACTACAGACACTTAATGTGTTGCACTCCGCACCAGACGTGTAAGCCAACCAGGGAAGCAGAGCCGGTGTTGTGATGACACCCAGTACTTTATCCAAGACCCCTGTTGCTGGTTCGGGGTAAAACATGCATCACGTGTACAACATTATTAGGAAATATTGGAACTGCTTGATCCTTAGATACGCTCTCTGATTGTCTCGAAATATTCAGCAAAACATACCTTCATGGAGCAAGCGCTCCGGGAAAAGTCGATCTTGCGCTGCGATGGCGGCAGGATACAAATATGCGTAAGTCAGCCTAATCAACTCCACTACTCGATTTTTCAAGGAAGAACATTGGCTCAATAGCAGAAGCCTTTGTCTACAACGATCATTTAGAAGATAATAACTAAACAAACGAATTTGACTAGAAGCCTGACATGAGAGCATAGGCGGTCTGAATCATAAATGTTGATGACACTACTATGTATGCTATATTCGTGATGAGGATCACTATCTTTGCAGATCACGAGCGATCCGGCAGATTTCAGGGTCTTTAGGAGCTTGGCATGTTCGAAGTCAAGCTTTGTCTGCCAATGTGAAACACAATTCATATACCTTCAGCCTTCTTTAGATGGTGAGTCTGTCACAATCTGCTTACGTCAGATTGATGCCACGATTTCGATTCGCCATAAGCTTTATGTATTAGTTGTCCATACTTCGCATCGACCTGCCACGTTGCGTTCGCTTTCTATGCCGATTTTTTGTCGAATCTATCATGACACTCGTCGGTCGTTGCAGTCAGCAGAAGATACAAGCTTTGTATAGGAGCTAATAACAATCAACAGATGTTAGATTGATGGCGGTTTAGCACTTGAACCTCCCCCCACCCCCCGACAACTTCTACTAAGGTTCCTACAGTTGAGATGTTGGCTTATGCGAATTAGCAGATATAGCCTTCTACGCCTCCTCAAGAAGTAAATATGAGTATCCAATCTAAATCAGCCAATAAACCCACCAGCTGCATGAGAGTATTTTTTGAATTCTCGAAGAATACCGCGATATTCTACGAAAAGGGTTAGAGGGAGAATTGCATATACCATTGAAATATTCCTCTCATAAGAACCAATACACTGTATTAGCAAAAGATGAAGGGAATCTTGTGTACATGGTAAAGTCAGTAGTGCACGTGATGCATGAACGCTCAATTACCTAAGCAAGGCTACCACCTCGAGCTACAAGCGGTCAGACTCTTCGTGGCCAACACTTTCTATCGAGCCTACATCTCGAAAAAAAGTATAAAGCTCAGGCGATATCTAATTTCCCAAATCCGATGTTTGCTGAAGACGACTGCACGCGATGCCGCTCCGAAAATCACATTCAAAATCTCGATTTGGCTGTTTGCCATGCAAAAAAAGACACATCAAGGTACCGTTACACCTCATGAATGAAAAATAAAGCACTCCGTTTTTTGCCAATCCTTTAAGCCTCACAAACTTATTTTGATATTCAGTGTGGAGAAGAGTCGCCCTCATGCAATAACTGCACCAACCGCCGTGTGCAATGTGTTTACAAATCTCCGCATACCCCGGACGACGGCTCTTCTAGAAGCAGTACTTCGATGAGCAGAAGTGAAACCCTTTCTGGAGAACTGCATACAGCACGTACGCCTATTACCGTCACACGAGCCCAAGAATTGCATCTGATGGCTCACTACATCACGTCGACGTGTGAGACGGTGTCACATGGCAAGGAAGATATGCACGTTTGGCAGCAGATCGTGCCCGACGAGGCGATTCATCATGAATTTCTCCTTGACGGCATCTTAGCGCTGTCTTCCCTTCATTATGCCTGGAAATATCGAGATTCTAGGCTTGTTTACAGCGAGATCGCCATGAATTATCACGCCTCTGCGCTAAAAGGATTCAGGGACGCGTTGAACTGCATTACCGATGAGAAAAGATGCGCCCTGTTCGCTTTCTCTGTCATCCTGAACGTACTGGCTCTCGCTTTCCCCAACATTTGCCCAACATCCGAGCAGTCTTCTCGCGAGGAAAGCGTGGTGACTTTGATCGAGCTTCTTCAAGGGCTGCGATTCATCATACGCGGCCAGGAAGATTTTGCGATACATCTTGCAAAGTACCAGCCGTTATGGGCTCCATTCATCTATCCTGCTCATCTTCCTACTCCCAAGCCTGCCGATGAAGTTGCCGCCGCACTGGCGAGACTTCGGGAGAGAACAAATAGTATTCAAAGCTCCATCGACGCTGAGCAACACAGGTCCTATCTTGCGGGAATCGAAAGCTTGGAAGAAATCTTCGGGCAAATGAACAAAGATCCAACCTACCTTGGTCAAATCATCGGATGGCCAACAACAGTCAGCCCGACATTATTAGACCTTTTCAAGCAGGAAGATCCTATGGCACAACTGATTTTTATCCACTACGGCGCCTTGTTGCTCTACACTCGCGATCGATGGTGGGGCAGAAACACCGGAGTTCGCCTGATTGAGAGTCTTTCACGATCCGTCTCCAACAAGCATCCAGACTGGGTGGACCTCATGCAATGGGCCAACGCTGCTGCAGTATCAGTTCAGCAAGACTAAATTTATATTGATCTAATCCAACAATCGTCGTAGAAGTCGACCCCAACGCATACAAAGCGCTTTGAACATGCTTATATTAAACTTTCGGGTATCTCACCACGCACTACTGCATGGACAATGTCTATTCTACAACACTACGTCTCCAGGCCATGTCGGGGTTCTTCGCCTGTTAAGTAGAAATTCTGAGGCATATTCTTCTGCTCTTGTAGACTGCAACTCGATTTTGGTCTCGATCCGGCCGTTCTCAGCCAATAACTCTAACAAAGGTCGTATACTTCTACACCACGGCGCACCGCAACCCCATGCTCGCCTTTCAGCAACCCTGTAATCTCACTCGGATGTATCCATGCCACAATTGCCATGGTAATCCACATGAGGGTCGAATCAAAGATGTAAAGGAAATATTCGTGGGAAATCAGAAAACCGTCATTGCCTTGCGCGTACTCAATCAGGCGAAACACGGATCGCACAAGAATGAGAAAGCTAGCTGCATAAAGAGAACAAAGCTGCGTCTCCCACGGTATAGATCCTGAGAGGATTCGGGTTGTGGGGTTCTTTCTCATTCGAGTGTGCCAAATAAAGCTCGTCACCATGAAGCAGCCGAAAAAGAGGACTTGAACTACGAGACCGCCGATGATGATGTTTTCGCCGGTATGGAGTGCGTCGACTGTGCCGCTAGCCATTATGCCACCGCCTGCCGATCGCGATGGTTAGCCTTTTTTTTCTTTCTTCGTGGCAGCATTCGTCGAATCACATATACAACTTACCAGCGCCCTGCATCAGAAATGAAATGACATCTCCTACGACAAAAATTTTTGTGAGCCATCGCTTGGGGATGATGGAGTGTTGTTCGCCGTCGGTAATGAGGATGATGCGACCGAGCATCATGTATATACTTGCAGCATACAGGGCGGGAGCGACGAGGAGTAGGATGGTGGAGGCGGAGTATGCGCCAACTGTCCAGTTGGGAGATTCGGCAGCGGATACCGCTCTCTATTGGCAAAGGGTTAGCACTTCATTACGAGCGTTCTAATAGATACCTACTGCTACGTATCCAGCAAATTGGACTATTGAACATTAGCAATTGATCACAAACACCACGCGACATAGGACTCGCTAAGATGACTTACAGAAGCCGCCGATGACAAACGGTGTGAGTATCCACGTCCGTGTGCGGACCGTTTGGTACAAATGTAGTACTGATATGAGGAGAAAGAGGACGATGAAGATGACAGCCGCAGCCATCGAAGGGTCGTAGCGGTACAACTTGAAGTCGACCTCATCTCCGTTGCCAGCCATTGCGCCGGTGGGTATTTTTTCCGACTCTGGGTAGGTTCGTCGTAATGAAGAAATCGATTTGAAATAATTTGAACGTGGTCTTCGCAGATGGTGTCAAAAACGAGAGCGGACTGAGAATGGAAAATAAATCGTAACGCTGAAAAGGTTTAGAAAAAAGTGAATGAAGTTCGGATGTCGAACAAGGCATCTCGATACATACCGTGGAGCGACCCCATACGTGACCGGTCAAGGATACGTATACGCGTATGCGTATTCGCTTCTATCCGTACATGATGGAAAATAGCTGTCAAAACCACGATCTAGCCTGCAGCCGAGCTCCACAAATGGCGTTCTATTGGTCGCATAAAGATATAGCGCCTACATGAGTCCTCCTTTAACTGTGGGTCCACGATAAGTGTCTGGTCTAAGCGCGTATTCTTCGTCTGGAGCGTATTCTTCGTCAGGAAGCGTATTCTTCGTATACTAAGCCTACTTAGGCTTAGATTATGCGTGGGACCCGCGTCATATGGGAACCGCGTCCAGCACTGCCACGAACTGACGAACACGGCTGCGCCTTTGCATAAGGCCCGAAAATTAGACGCTCGGTACAGCACATACCGATGAAACTGTTGAAGAAGTTGTTTGGGGCGAGAAGATGCCAATGACAAAAAAATTTGCCTGCGAAAGGGTCATCGGCTTCATCGGCCTCATCGCACCGCACCGAGGCGGCGCGTTTTAGCGGCGACCAGTCCCAAACACCCACACATGCATAGCCATGCTGGACTACTTTATGTTCCAGAAAGTTACCGAACCCCTCTCGAGGACTAAAAGTATTTCTTCGGAGTTTGACATGCAGTTTCGTAAGGCGCCGAACCCTTTACGATCACCAACCTTGCTGGCTAGGAAGGGAGATATAAGTGGGGCATCGGCTAGCGCACGGAGACAAGCAGTAAGCTTAAAGTCTTGTTCATGCCAGGTACTCGGGAAACGCACGTGCGATGTTAGACGCCATGCAGCTGTCGTAGTATAATTGAACCGTCGTGTTGACCATTTTTTGTACCAATTGCCACACACACCACACCCATCCAACGACACACACCTCGAGCTGGCATTCACATTATGGCCCTTGGTGAGTGTTCGTAATACCATACCTAATACGTTGGCCAGCATCCATGAACGACAGAAATCTTCCAGCTTGCATGAAGTTACTACTCACTTCGCCGACACCACTTTAAAGGGGTTGTCAAATCTCCTCGAGTGGATGCGCCCTTCTCTAAAACACTCTTACTCCAACACCAACCTTTCTTGAAACAGCACTAAGCAGTCAAGCATCACGACTTCACCAAGAATCATCAGGCACATTGTTCGACGGATATAGGTAAATTGAAATATGTACAGATTGCGTAGGCTACGACCATGATTCGTTTCCAACAGCGGTATAAACAAGTATAGACATGAAAGAGATATTTAACCACGGACAAGGGTAAGGCTGTAGGCGGAGAGGATCTCGTTGACGGGCTGGAAGTAGGTGGTTCCGCCACGGGAGCAGTCACCAGATCCGCCGGAGGTGACACCCTGGGCCTGAGCACCAGAGTAGAAAGAGCCGCCAGAGTCACCGGGCTCAGCGCAGACGTTGGTCTGGGTGAGACCAGTGACACTGCCCTGGGAGTAGTTGACGGTGGCGCCAAGGGAGCGGACGGTACCGCAGAAGACACCAGTGGTGGAGCCGGAGCGGCAGATGCTGGCACCGACAGCGGAGGCGGTGCTGCCAGAGACAGGGAGAGTACCACCGTTGTAGTTGTTGATCCTGCCCTGGTAGGTGTTTCCGCTGCTAGCGCGGATGAAAGAGTAGTCACCGCTTCCGGGGAAGACGGAGCCAGAGAAGGTTCCTACATTAGCACCACTGCTGGTGGTGGCGGCATTTCCAGCACGACCACAGTGGCCGGCAGAGACGAAACCAGTGGTGACGGAGAAACCGACGGAGCATCGGCCGCCGGAAATGTAGTAGGCATCACCACCACGGAGAGTGGCGAAGGTAGTGGGGAGTTCCTCAACGGTGCGGACCTCGTAGTCAGCCTCAGTCAGGCCAACCTTCTTGGCGAGCTCCTCAGCCTTAGCGGTACCGCTGGCGATGGCCTCGAAGACGAGCTTGTTGGCGGCAACGTCAACATAGTAAGAGGCGATTCCGTTGGCAGCCTCCTCAGCACGCTTGGTGGATGGGACGTTGAGGGCGTCAATGGCCTTCTGGGCCTCCTGGAGCTTCTCGAGGGGAGTGTCAACGACCAAGGCGGTGGCACCAGCAGCAGTGACCTCGGAGGTCAAGGCCTCGTCAGTGACGGCGACGTTGATCTCGCCGTCGACGAGCCAGGCACCACCGAAGGCGCTGCCAGCCTTTGCGCGGAGCTGGTCAATGACCTCGGTGGCCTGGATCTCGCGGGCAACGCGGACACGAGCAGCGTCGGCATCAAGGCCCAAGTCGCGCTTCATGGCAGCCAGGATCTCGGGGTGGAGGTCGTTGGCGGCGGCGGTAGGGGCACCATAGACGATGGGCAGGAAGACTGCAAGAGCAGCGAGGAATTTGGTGAGCTCCATGTTCAGGATTGTGGAAGAAACACACAAGATTCAAGTGTCGATGTTGTGAAGTGGATGGCTGTAGAAGACTTGTCTTGCTATCCTGATGAAGTGCTGACATTGGACAGGAACACAGCTTCATATTTATACATACTCGACATCTTACCATTGTCACTTGCATCATGATCTACCAGTGCCCGTCCTGAATAGAGCGCAAGGTTGCATTGGCGGCTACGAAATGCCTCCTTCCTCATCGGCGGCAAGATGTTTCCTACACGCTGCAACAGTATCGGAAAGGCAGTCCTCAAAAGGAACTTCACAAGACATTTTGCTACCATGTTACACCACAAAAGGCATTTGACAAGACATTCGCCTACACAGCGGCTCCACTAGGTGGCACTTGACAAGGCAATTCGCCTTAGGGTATTATTAAGTGCCGATGCGGCTGATCTTAACAGGAAAGTCAACAAAACGCATGAACCTTCTACCACTCTACCCCAGCATCCAAACAGGAAGGAGAGTGTAGAGATATGATAGCGATGCAGTAGCAACATGTCGGTTAGACTGTGTCATGTGGCAGCCGTTAGGCTCACAAAACCCAGAGCGGACATAATCGCAGACTAGAAAACGCCATACACACCTCTCGACCTTACCTTCCCGATTAAACGCATGTCCGATTGCCAAGCCCCAAGCCCTTTATCGCTTGCAATATCGACAACGCGCCTAGCAGATAGCAACGCCGGCATGGGGGGTGCGTTGATTGGCTGACCCCCACACCACCTTGCAGTGCCGATCGCTTTGCACGTTTTCCCCTCTTGGTGAAACTCGAGACTAAGTACACTACAGCCGAACGTCAGGACGTCAGATCCTTGATTCTTATTAAGATTAGAATAAAGGGGATAAAAAAGCAAATGGCGGGTACACTAGGGAAAAGTAAACGCTGTATGTATGGCTGAATTGCCGATGTGTGGAGACGGCAATCAGATTTCAGGGTCGCTAAAAGCTGGCAAGTTGGTCGCCATGGGCGACTACACCTATACTCGTTGATTATCTTGTATACGACGATCATTACCAGCCTAGTCATTAGCTAATCACCTGTCCTCTTTGCTGGCTACGAGTTGAATCGGTGATTCACAATGCTGTTGGGGGGGGGGGGATTTTTTTTCCAATGGTGTGATGGTAGAGCTCGTGTTGCTTACTTTTTTTTAATTACGGCGCAAAGCAGTATGAGTTGCTGGCAAAAGTGTATGGCTGTGTGTGTAATACAACAGAGCGTACTGTACACACAGACCAATGGGAATGACGAGGAAAAAACGGATGGGGAAAGAGTAAGCGGGGCGGAGTATTGCGATCGCGGAGAGCAGGGGAGGGGGGGGCCTGGATGGAGCAATCACCCGTAAGCCCTTGTCCGGTATCTGTGCACGCATCCCGCACGTACCTTGGCTGCGATGCCACAAAATCTTATACGAACCTCTCAAGTTCGTTCTTGGATTCAGCGTTTATTTTCTCCATGGTGACGCACTCATCATCAACGTACTTGTGGCGTTGAAGAACCAAAAAAAGACGTAGAGTGTCGTGGCTTTGGTCAGGACAACGCCCTGAGATGTGTGAACCGACCCTATTCCATCCGACATCCCTCGTGATCAAGCCTAGCAAACGCCTGCTTAAGTGGTACTAGCCCCCCAAATGCTTAACGGTGCCCCACTATGGAGTAGGGGTAGCCTTGAGCGCGCGCTGATTACATGCGTTTTACCGTCCAAAATAGTTGCCTGGTCCTTGATGTTGTCGTTATCACAAGCTCTCTTGCACTTACCAGGTACACGCTTGGCATTTCTTTCGGAGTGGTCATTTAAGGCAGTTGAGATACTGATTTTGCTCATGAGGGTGCTTCGCTTCGATATGTATCAGGTACCAAGCCGCGTCCTTGCATAGTCATACGATAGCGACGTCACAGTCGAAGAATTGGGTGTGAGCTGTAACTGAGGGGAAAGGCTGGTGGTATTCATGATTGAATCAGGATTTGCCTTTAGACCTTTCATGAATGGCTTGCTGCCGCACAACAAAACAGTGTAAAGGCTTGTGTCAGGCACACTCAAGGACCTCAGTATGGAAGGTGATTGAAATTTATCTGCCTTGGTTGGCCTATCGTAGTTTTGGCAGTGTACCGCGTAGACTGGATTGCCACAGTTGATCCAGAGATATGTTTTGGCGGGCTACCTTCTGAACCTGGCAGTGCACTAAGTAAAACAGATGGCCACGTCTGGGGGGTTGAGTTCGTTCTGGCAGGTGTAGAATGAGTCTGCAAGAGGGCCCTGTAGACACAGTCTCCATGGTCTACCCTTGATTTGCAGTGGCAATTGAGCCAAGGTAAAGATCATCGCGGTTGATCTGCAGACTTATTTTGGAAGGTGCAGTCTAGGCCTTCCAACAATCTATATTGTCGGTTGGCTGTATCCAGACCCGCATACTAACAGTCTGTGAGCGACGCTGAAGGAAGGGTAGTACAGCTTTAGCTACACACAACTTTGACAATCCACTTCTAAACTGTATGTATGTGCTGGCTGCTTCACCCGACAACATATTAGGCTATCAGCTTATCTGCCGAATTCTCTAGGCCATGTCTTGGCTACAAATTGTTGCGGTGCCTTCACCGCAGCCAAAACCCAAGACCCCATTACAACAACAGGCCTTGCTTCTTCAAGGACATTTTTGAAACCTATCCCAATTGCATGCTACCCCCGAGAGTTGTCCGTACATTTAGGCGTCCAGCTGGCGTTGGCCCCTTCAATTACACAGTATACATGGATTCTTCCCAGCGCTTCCAACAGCAAAACACATTTACATAATGAAATTGCAAAGAACGCCACAGGAATTCAAGGCGAAGGTCTACTAGAAAATAGTTTCAGATGGCGCAAAGACGTGACTCAGAAGCCAAGAAATGCCCAGAATGAAATTGTTCCGAACGCGGAAGGTCCCCTTCCGACACTTCGAGCCGCACCTCTCTATTCCCGGAATCTTCCTCTCATCCGCAAACGACACAGCATCTTTAATCTCCGGGGAAAGGTACCTCCCCCCACTCTCCAATCGCTAGACGCCAAAATGTCATCTCTGCTTAATGGCTTCCCGACAAAGGCACCGTCTGCACCTGCACAAAAACTCCGATATGCAGACGTATGCCACAACCTCCCTTTTCCCGCGTCAATCACGACAGCAACTAAACTGGAATGACGCAACCTCTAGGTCGCTGTAACAGCAACAGCAAAAGAGTTTGCTGGATTCTATCGTGGCAAGCAATACCATGACCCCGACTTCGACGCTGTCCTGGACCGCGCTCTCGCCGCTGGAGTCGACAAAGTAATGTTGACAGGCATGTACGCCGCCGACGTACCCATCAACATTGCCATTGCTCGCAGGCGGCCAGCGCAATGCAAAATCACCATTGGCGTCCACCCCTATCATGCAGTCGAGGCAGATGAGGGTGGCGAAGCATACTATGCGTCGGTGTCCGAAACCACTTCCCGGACTATGGAGCAAGAGCCGCACCTCCTAGCCGCTTTTGGGGAATTGGGGCTTGACTACGATAAGCTAGCCGCTGCCCCTAAACAAGTACAGATTCGTGTGTTTAAGCGCCAGCTCGATATGATTGTGGATGCGGGATGGAAACTACCTTTGTTCCTACACTGTCGTGCTGCTTTTGAGGATTTCGTTTCTATCCTCGAGGCATACTGGGAACGGCTTCCCTTACGCTCTGGCTTGGTGCATTCGTTTGTGGGGACTACGCAGCAGATGCAGAAGCTCATTGGCATGGGCTTGCACGTCAGTGTTAACAATTTTGCGTTCAGGGACAGGGACAGTTTGGAGATGATTCGCAATGTGCCGCTTGAGAAGCTGCAGATTGAGACGGATGCGCCGTGGGGCGAGATTCAGGCGTCGAGTGAGGTTGCGAAGGCTTATTTGCAGAATGCGACGAAGTGGGCTTGGGGGAGCAAGAAGAAGGATAAGTTTAGTCTAGGGGATATGGTTAAGGAGAGGAATGAGAGTTGTAGTGTAGAGAAGGTCGCGCTTGTGGTGGCTGGGTTAAAGGGATTGAGTGTTGACGAGGTGGCTGAGAGTGCGTGGGATAATAGCATCAATATGTTCTTCTCGTAATGAGCAGGCGCACGAATAAGACACGACTATGAACAAAACATGATTAATCTTGTCCCAATCGTTGTTCAAGCTTTTGTCATTCGTAAAACGTAATCTAGTCAACTCATCTAAAAAGTACGAATCTCTCCCGTGCTTCTACTTAGTCCCATTCGTTCCATTTGTTCCATGCCCATTCGTCAAAATCCCATGCTTCTTTTTGCTCGCCCTCGGTACCTCAACCTGTACCTTGTACGTCCGCCCTTTCTCCACATTCCCAATAACATTACCGGCAATCTGCTCCCCATCAACCGTCACCTTCACACCCTCCACACTCCCCCTCTTAACCTGCACATCGAACACCGCACCCCTAAACTCCCTCCTCACCTTCATCTCATCCCAATCACTCGGAAACTTGGGATCAATCTTCAGTCCCTCCTTGACACCCCGCAAGCCACACAAGCCCTCAATGACGCATCGATACGCCCAGCTCACCGTCCCGGTATTGAACAGCTGACTCGAGCGTCCCGCGGTGCGATCCAAATGCTTAATCCCATACCCACCACGATAGTAATTCGGAATGAAGATGGGAAGCTGACCCCGGCGAACAAGATCCTCTTCATCCGGCCCTGGAATCATAGCTCGGAGCGTGCTATACGCGCGATCCACATCGCCAATGGTGTACAGAGCCCAAGCGTAAAAGGCAGCAGCGTGGTTGTACACGGATCCGTTCTCACCCTGGCCCGGATACTTTTGCGTCACACGCCCGACATCCTCGCGCATGGCCGTGAACGGCGGACCAAACATGACGACGCCGTACGGCGTAGTAAGCTGCTCGTCAATCTGCGGTAGCATCTTCGCAATGCGCTCTTCCGACGCCGCACCCCCGAGAATCG